TTTTTCAAGGCTTGATGGAGCTGGGCAGAGAGAGATCAGGTACCCGCCTCTGCTGGGGGCCACAGGCCTCGCCATCTCTGGGCCTCATGTTCTTATACGTAGGATTTGGGGCTTGCACTACAGCTGTGTTTCCTTGGGCCACTTTTTCTTGGGGAATTAATAGGCATGGCATCCAGAAAAGTTCCTTGGTTAAGCAAATTTGGGAAGTGCTGGAGGAAACAGAGTCAATTTGGTATCTTTACTGTAGGCCTTCTCAGGGCCCTCAGTAAGCCAGTGGGCCTCATGCATCTCCAAGGCAGGAAATAATGTCTTATCCCAAACGTCTGGGGAGACGGCCACCCCTGCTGTCTGTTGCACCCTCTGCCTCTTTCTTGTCTGTCTTACACAGTCTCACCAAATCCTGAAGGAAACCCTGGCAGCTTTGAGCCACGGGTTTTGTCAGCTGCTTAGCAAAGCTGGGTCAGTCCATGGGTGAGCTCGGGGAGAGCCAGGCCCCTGCACTGAGCCTCTGAGGGGCAGCTTGATGCCAGGCAGGGCGAATTGGCCCCTGGTCTAGTGGGACTGTCAGGTCCCCGGCCACTTATCTCCTCCCCAGGCCCAAATTGCCATTCTGCTGGGTCCTCTACGCCCCAGGCCCTGCTATCCCTCTCCCCAGAGTGCCCTTCATTGCTCTCCTCACTCCTGCCCCTTGGCTCACTCCTCTTCCTTGATCATAGTCTCCTCCTCCACGAAGTCTTCCTTGATTCCTGGACCAGGTTAGATGGCTCTACCCTGGCTTCCTGGCCACATAGTGGGACCAAAAGTCAGAATACCGAGATTCAGATACAGCCCTTCACAGACACGTGCTATGACTTTGAGAAGCCACTTCTCTCTGGTGCCTGGTTTTCTGGCTTATAGAATGGGAGAGCTGCACAGGGGCCTTCAAGCCCCTGGGCTCTGACATGACAGAGCATTGTGATTGCCAAGAGGAAGCCACACCGAGCTCGCCACCTGGCAGTTCTGACTAATCTTTGTTTTGAAGCCCCCTGTCTGCACTAGGGCTGCTGGATGAGCGTGGGAGGGGAACAGCAGTGTGAAGAATGCATTATTGTCTCAGGGAAGGACGCCTCCAGAGGTGGGGAAGCTGGGAGGTGCTGAGTGATCACAATAATTTCACAAGATCATAGACTCTGGGCATTGAGCAGGGCTTAAGATTCAGTCAGCACCACACTTCCCTTTGCAGACAGGAAGGCAGGCCCAATGTCACACACATAACGGCTAGAGCTGCTGACTTTACATGCCTCAAACTTGCACCTTTATGCCTCTCTGTTTATAAAGCCTGGTGCCTTCCTTACCTCATTTTCTCCTCACAACAACTGAGTGTGTTTGGAGAAGCAGGGATAGTATCCTTGAATACAGATGAACAAAGTGAAGCTCAGAGAAGTTGTGTAACCTGCAAGATGTCACACAGCCCACAAATGGCAGAGCAGAGTTTGACTGACTGTGGACTGTCCGATGCTGTCCGCAGCCTGCATTCTTGTTGTAAATAGCAGTGCCTGCTTCCTTTGTCCTGGGCTTCCCATTCTCTCCTACTCTGCCTGGGGCTTGGCTCCCCCCACCCCACCTCTGGAATCCCAAGTCTTTTGTGGCAGCCCTCCTGTTGCCATGGCACCAGATTATGATGTCGCAGACCTTGGATGACTATGTACTGCTCCTGGGCTGTGGAATACAGGGACTCACAGAGGTGGGCATTGTCCAGGGGGCAGACTGGCATGAAGGAAATAAATCCCTGTAAGCAGGGAGCCACGGCCTCAAGCCCAGCTGGGGAATCACCCTGGGAGCTGGAGCCAAAGCTGCCAGTGCCAGCAGAGCAGGGGTCTGGCATGGCTTGCCCCGACAGCCTTGAAAGACCACTCAGCCCTCATCTCTTGGCAGGGCTGATGTAGACTCTTGATGAGGGGCTTTGGGGCTCATGACGCTGAATGAGCGGACACTGGGATGCTCACTGGGGTCCACTGGGAGAGCCTTTAGCCTTTAGTCCTGGTGGCAGTGCTGCCTAGGAAAGCCACCAGCCCCACTTGCCCCAAGGAGACAGGACTTTGCCCAAGGCCTTCCAGAGAGGAGGTGGCCATGCCAACATTCAGTCTCAGCACTGACTCCAAATCCTTCCCTGTGGTTACACTTCAGACAGGGGCCCACTAAGGTGGTTTAGATGAATCCCCAACCCGATAGTGACCAAGCTGCCTCAGTTTCCCCACGGCAGTCCGTTGGAAGAGCATAAGTTGTCATCAGCCCAGGTTCATTTTGCTGCACGTTTCTGGGCACATTCCAGGGGAGACCCTTCATGCAGGTGCCTCCAGGCTAAATGGCTGATCTGCCCCATTGCCTTGTCCTGTGGCCCTGGGGCCAGAGAGACATTTCCCTGGTCATACTGCATTTGCCTCTCTGGGATCCTCGATCATATCCTGTTAATGCTGAGGTAGCTGTGGGCCTTAGTGGAAAGAGTCCAAGTTTTGGCAGCTGACACATGAAATTAAAATTTCTCTTCTTGCCGTCTCCCACACTGATTCTCTGAGCCTCTGTTTTCTCTTCTGTAACATGGGATTAATAATGAGTTTTCACTGGGATCCTGGGAAAAAGGTCCAGACCAGACCCAGGGTGGAAAATGCCCAAACTGGCCCTGACAGTGAACTCAGTTCCTTAACCCCCACTGTGGGACATCCAGCCCTGAGGCTGCCCAGCAGGGCCCTGTGGTGCCTGTGGCTGTTCTGGCCTCTTTGCCCGGCACCTCACAGGGCTTGGCACACCGTGAGGAGCCCAGCTCCTTCCCGGGCTCTCAGAATGTCAGGAAGAAAAGGGTCTTTGGAGAGTGTGTAGCTGGCCTGTGCCCAGTGACAGAACCCCTCTAACACCTTCTTCGTCAAGCCTCCCTTGGTCTTCAGAGGTCCGCCCGGTCACGCACTCAACTGAGCTCCTGGGGACCGGCCATGCTGATTTCTCTTCTGTGTGCTTGGTGCAGAGCCTGGCGCAGATGCAAGCTCACTGACTGTAGAACTGAAGCTTCCTTGGGTTCTTCCAAAGAACCTCCTTTGGAGCTTTTCTTACACATCTGATATTGATGAACATTTCATTTGGAGAGCCATGGTGGGGAAGAGGGGTGTCTGACTGTGAGATCAAATTGCGGCCCTGCTTCCACCCAGATGCAAACTCAGGTATGGAACTTAGCACCCAGGGTCTGGATTTCCTATGTGTCAAGTGGGGACCTAATGGGCCATTTGTCATGGGATTTCCTGGTGATATACCTTGCACCGAGCCTGGCACACAGAACGCACTCTGAGAATGTTAGAAAAGGAAAAAGAAAATGCTAGGATATACGTTTCTTTTTTGGATGCTGAGCTTCTTGTGGGATACTCTGGTGCTCATGTTAGGAACTGCCCCAGGTGCTGTGGTTCATAACTGTACTTACTGTCAGATGATTATGGGCAGTGATTTACCAAAAGGTACTGGTATCTATTGCCCACAGTTATCCCTTGGTGCAGGGCTTGGGGAAGGCTGCTCCGGGGCCTGTGCTGGGAGGCAGGAGAGCTGGTAGTGATCCCTGCTTTGCTGTGTTTCCTGGGCCAACCCCTTTCCTACTCTGGGTTTTAGGTCCCCCATCTGTAGGTAGACTCCCGATTCCTCTGGTTTCTTTAACCCTGCACAGACAGAGGTATTCTTCTAAGGAAAGTGAGAAGAAAACTCATCTTTGAACATGGATGTACTTGCAAGGTTTCCATTGAAAGGCAGAATTTCGGAATGGATTCAGGTGCCTGTCCCCAGATCCTTGCTAAGTGGCTTAGGGCAGGGGGAGCAGTTACATGACCCCAGAGGCAGCCAGAGGGTCTGTGGGAGGATGTGTCCTCCAAGGCTGGCCACTGGGAAGGAGCTTCCCAGAGAGCAGGTGAGCCTCAGCCCTGGAGGTGTGGGCACAGGGGCTGGGCACCTACATCGCCCTTTGGTTCAGTGCCCCGACTGTGACCTGCCCTAAGTTGGGTCCTGTGCCGAATCTGACACTGGAGGCACGTCAGGCCAATGCGGGGCCAGGGAGGAATGCAAATTGTGTTGGTCCCTGCGATCTTGCCCCAGTTTTGCTACCAGCTGTGAGATCTCAGCCAGCTACCTACGTATGACCCCTGAGGGCACAGAATACACATTTCCTTTGTTTCTAAGACTCAGACCATAAAAAAACGACTGCTGCCGACCCCATCTGCTGTGTGCCGGGATCTCTGCTGCCCATGCTTCAGACAGTGTAACTTGATACTCCTCAGAGCCTTTTGTTTTCTTCTCCCCATTATATAGATAAGAAAACAAGCTCAGAGGCTAAGTACTATTCCCAAAGGCACCCAGACAGAGAGAGGCAGCGCCAGTATTCAGGCAGCGCCGGGATTCAAACTCACCCCTCAGAGGCCTGTGTTCCAGGCTGTAAGCACCTTGGGTGGCAGAGACTGATTTGGGTGTCTCTCCCAGTAGATGCTCTTCCCACCATTCTGAACAGAACATGTCTTGCCACAGAGTAATTGTTTGCTGTTAAGGATCTGTATCTCCAGATCCCTGGTGCTGGCAGAAAGGGTCTGGGCTTCTCTCTGGGTGCAGGGAGCAGGACAGCCCGGTAAAAGGACTGAGCACCGGAGGAAGGGGCTGAGGCACTTGCTGTCAGTGATCAGGGAAGGCTTCATAGAGGCGGTGGCAGGGGAACAGGCATTCCGTTGGTGGGTGGATCCTATCTGTCTTGTTGGACTTGATTGAGTTCCTGAACTTGGAGGGCAAGGCCAGGTGTCACCAGTGTCCACCTGGTGCTCAGTGTGTTGAATGAGTGAGTGTTTCTCTCCTGTCCTCTTGGTCGGCAGGGCCCCCTCTGGCCTAGTGGGGCTGTGGGAGGTCCTGCGGTCCTGCTTCCAGACTGCATCCCAGCCACCCCGTAGCCCCGGTGGGGAAACCTCAGTGCCCACAGGGCTCCTCACGCTGCTCTCCTTGCCCTGCAGCCAAGAGGACCTGTTCGGACAGCGACTTCACCTGTGACAACGGCCACTGCATCCCTGAGCGATGGCAGTGTGACGGCGAGGAGGAGTGCCCGGATGGCTCAGACGAGTCCCAGGCCGCCTGCAGTGAGTCCTGCCCCGGGGCCTTAGCTTCTCCATCAGGTCCTCCTTGTTGGGAGGGTGGGAGGTGCCAGTGAGGCAGTCTGCGGAACACAGCCCTAGACCCACATTGTGCCACGCCCTTGGGGGCTTTGAACCAGCCAGGGCTTTCCTGTCACTGGTTTCTGGAGACCCATTCTGGGGCTTTTTTCACAGGTCTCTTGCAAGTTTGAGCCTGCTCCTGCAGGACCAGGGGCTAGAAGCAGCCCTTCTCCCCAGGGGCAGCCACAGTACATCCTCCAGGCCTCCCCCACTATTTTCCTGAGGACTCTGATCATAATTCTAACTCTACTGATGACAGCTGGTGCCTGTCCGGTGTTTCCCATGTGCCTGGTGAGGTGCCCTGCTCTCTGTATGCATTAATTCATCTCATCCTCACAGCAGCCTTAGGAGGCAGGTACTGACACTTTCTGATTTTTGCAAAGGAGGCCACTGAGGCTCAGAGAGGTTGAGTGACTTGCCCAAGTCCACCCAGCCAGGACTTTCAGGCCCCAGCTCTTTCCTCTGCTCTGTGGAATAAGCGCAGGAGCCTCAGCCTCCTTGGCAGGCTGGGGGCAGCAGAGGCAGCCCGCAGTGAGGCAAGGGCCAGAGCCAAGCCCCGGGCCCGCCTCCCATGCTGAGGGCTTTGTCTCTCCCTGATTTCTTGTCCAGGCCCTAATCCTCAAAGCAAATTTACACCCACAGGTCATTCCGTGACATTTGTTAAATTAAAAAGGAGATGAGAAGGGGGCGGGGCAGGACCCGGTGCTCCAAGGCAGAGCTTCTCCAAGTAAGATGGAGACAAAAGGTTGGCAGGGAGCTCGTGGAGGACGGTGGGGCTGGGTGTCACAGTCCCTGGTCCTTGTTAGGAGCCATGGTGGCCCGAGTTGCTGCGGCAGGGACAGTGGAGGCCAGTGTCCCATCCCAGGCTGTGGCTGCTGATAACTGGGTTTCCTTGTCTCGTAGCAACAGAGCTACCAGTCTCTTGTGAAAGAGAGAGAGCGCGAGCGAATGAGCAAGGGCAGCCCCACCCGAGTCAGGGGGACCCCCGCATTTCCTGGCACAGCTGCCCCAACCCCCCAGCCAGCCACAGGCCCTGTCCTTTCCTTGCCCCACCAGGTAGCCAACCTGTCCCAGGGGTGCCTGGGCAGGAGGGCAGCCCAGTGCTTTGTCCTGAGCTTCAGAAGGAACAAAGCCTGACCACGCCCACCTGTGACTCATCCTCAGGGCGCCCTTGGAGAGTGCACATCCCTGTTTGGAGAGAAGGAAACCAAGGCTCAGACAGGATAGCCCCCCCAGCCCGTGGCTGCCCAGCCAACAAGGGGCAGAGCTGTGTGCTTCCCGGAGCGGGTTTGGGGAGGGCAGCTGCAGCCCCGGGCTTTGCCCCCACTGCCGTCAGCTGGCTGGCCCCTCTCTGGCAGTGTTCTGAATTTGGGGGCAAGGGGAGGGGTGGGGAGCCTCATCACTGTTAGTGTTGGGGTCTGTCCTACTGCCTGAGCTGTGCTCCCCTTGCTCCCCACCTCCCCGTCTTTGTATCCATGCCCCTTTACCCCTGCCTTCTGCCCCCCTCCAGGCCCTGCCCCCGCTGCTGTCTTGAGCTGCCTCCCCTTGCCTGCCTGCTCCTTCTCTTCCTCCCTCCCTCTGGGCTGTGCAGGGACCCTCCAACCTTACCCCTCCTGCCTCCCAGGACTGCTTTGTACCCAGCTGTACGGCACTGTTACTTGACCGTTGAATAACTGGAGGCCCAGAGAAATTGAGGGCCTTGCTTCTAAGACACACAAGTTGTTCATGGCTGGTTTGCCTACTGTGGCAAAGACGGGCTCCTCAGGCTCTCTGAGGCTCAACGGAGTGCCCCGTAGGGGCAGCAGCCAAGGCCACACCCTGGGAGTAGGGAGGCCCAGCTCTCTGTGCTCTTCCAGCGATTCACTGTGAGGTGTGGCATACTTTTCTGCTCCTGTCTGGGCCCCACTTTCCAATATTCCTGGATTCCAAAGACCATGATTCTAAGATTCCTGGACTCTTAGCATTCTGAGACCCTCTTTCTCCCTTGCCTGTGCCCAGCTGAGGCATGAGGCCCAGGACCCCACTTCCTATGCAGAGTTAACATTCACCATAGGCAAAGCTGGTGCCTGTCTGGTGTTTCCCGTGTGCCTGTGAGGTGCTCTGCTCTCTGTATGCATTAATTCATCTCATCCCCACAGCAGCCTTAGGAGGCAGGTGGGAGGACTGCCTGGAGGAGGTTGGCCAGAGTGAGGCCTCAAGGGTCAGGCAGAATTTGGGGCAGCAGGACCTGGTGGCAGGCTTGCTCACAGCTTTTTGACCGAGTGGGCACCCTGTAGCCAAACTGCTGCCCATTTCTTTGGTATTGCCATAGCAACTTCCACAGCCTTCCAGGTTCCTGGGGACTGTGCCAGCTTCCAGGATAGAGCCTCCTTCCCACCCTCAAGAAAGATTATAGGCAATAGCAAGTGTAGAGAGTTTGGTGTCTGACATACTTGGATTTAGGTCCTGTACCCTGGGAGGTGTCAGACAAGGTGCCCAATCTCTCTGAGCCTCAGTTTATTCATCTGTAAAATGGGGGTAATGGTATCTGCCTGACAGAGGTTGTGAGGATCAAATGGAAAAAAATGCATGCAAAGTGTCAGTGCTGGAGTAAATGGCAGTGTTGTTATCACTACATTTTGATTCCAGGTCTTCTCCCCCATATACACCAATTTAAAATCTTAGAACAGAAGAGTGTGAGGGGGGTTTGGACTAAGAGGAAAAGATCTAAGGAGCAGGCTCCTGTTTTTGTGTTCCCTGCTGTGCTGTCTGCCCCCAGCTGGCCAGGGTTTCTCCCAGGTCTGTTTCCTTCTGGTTCTGAGTTTTGCGCCTATCAAATACAGCCAGGAGTCACAGTAGGAAAGCCTGGGACATTTGCCTAATGAAAGTAACATTTCAGCTCTAATTATAGCTCCCTTGATTGGGGATGATTCTGACCCACCTTCAGGCATCTGTATGGGGGTGGGAAGGTTGGTTCAAGGTGAATGAGTGAAAGTAGGGTTTTATTCATGCGTCTCAGAACCTGTCCACCTGAAAGAGTGACCTCACTGGTTATCCAAGGGCACCTTCCTCTTACAGATCAGAATGTGGAGGCCCGGAGATTTTCTGAGATCACCCAGCGAGTTAGAGCCTGGCCCAACTAGAAGTGCTTTGCCTGACCTGATGTGAAGAAGCTTGTTGTAACTGCCCCCTTCTTCCCTGTGGGACAGTCCCATGTCATGCTTCCCAGGGTAGCAGCTGGACAGAGTTCCCACCACCTGAGTCTCTGGTCGCTTGGAGCTGGCAGTGCCCATTTGGAGGTTGTCTGTCCCGGAGCCTCACATGACCCAGTACTGCTGGTGTGTTTGCTCAGGAAGCATCAACCACTTTGAGTCTCTTATTCAGCAGATGTTTCCCTTTCTATTACCTTGAACTTGTGAATTGCAGACAGTACCGGTGGATTTGGGTTTCTGGGGCAGGGTTCTCTGGGAATTTGTAAGTGCCTGTGGCCACTCCAGATGCAGTTTCAGGCTCTTTTTGACTTTGGAAGGTTCCTGATGTCTGGGAGACAGTGGGTTTCTTCCCTCCTCCCTCTCAGAACTTGGGGATCCTTGACAGCAGGCCACAGGCATGCATCAGGGCATCTGTCTCAGAGAGAGAGGCATTCCGGGGTGGCAGCCGCATCGCAGCGGGCAGCAAGGGCTCTGATACTGTGTATTCAGCAGGGCTGAGGCCAGGCCCTCCCACCTGTTTGTATTTGCATTTCCTGAAATAAAACAAAGGCAACTATTTTCTGAACTTCAAGCTTCTTCCAGGCTCTAAGTGTAGAGATTTTCATATTTCTTCATTTAAACCATCCACCAACTCTAGGAGATTGATTATATAACCCCATTTTCAGGGGTGCAGAGAGGTTAAGTGACTTGCTGAAGGATCTTTGTGTTAGCAAATGGGATTTGGACCCAGGTCTGTCTGTTCCAAAGCTCCTGCTCCTTTTTCTGCATTATGCTGCTGGCAGGCCTTTGCTTTGAGTTATCCTGAGAGTGGACATCAGGTGGCCATCTTGTAGACCCTGCTGAGCAAAGGCCCTTTCCTCCAGTGACCCCTCTCCAGCCCAGAGATGCCAGGGAGACCGGCAGGCCTATTTTTCTCATGTATAATGGTTAAATGCAATAAGTTAAACAGTGCTTGGAATTAAGAGAGATGTGGAATGGAAGTCCAGCTCTTCCCCTTAGCACAAGACTTTGAGCAAACAACCTACCCTCTCTGGGCTTTGCTCTCATCTATAAAATAGAGGTAATACTACTACCCAACTCATAAGGAGATACTGCATACCAACAATACCCAGACTTCCCAGGGCTAGGCAGTAGAGGCCTGAGCCAGGAGCCCAGAGAGTAAGGTTCCCACCCTGTCTCTGGGGAAGAGCTGCATCACAAGAGAGCTGGTGAGGGTCCAGGGCAGACAGGCGGCTGGAACACCCAGTATCCAGTAGCCTCAGCAGGCCTCTTCCTCTCTCTGCTTCGTTCTCCTGTCACCCCACCGATGCTCCTCAGGATGACCTCTTGTGCCCTGGCACTCCAAGACGGTGCCTTGGCTCTTTGAGGGTTGGAGGACTGGTGTCAAGCCCTGCTAAATCCTCAAGAGCTTGTAATTAGAGCTGTCTATTTACGGATGGAAAATGTCTTATTAATTATAAAGAAAGGAAGCAGACGAATTGTTTAATCATTGTCCTTGCTGAAAGGTTATGCAATTACCTGTATAAATATTCATTAAAAGTTCAAGCAGCTGCCTGCTGCACTGGGGTATGCAGAACCAGGCTGCTGGAGGTGGTGTGGACAGTCAAGGGTCATTTCAGTCACCTGGGCTTTTAGGCAGAGCGTTTGGGGCTGCTGCTGGGCCACTTACCTACCCATAGGAGCATGCGGGTTTTAACAGAAAGGGCAGGGTTTGCTCAGAGGAATCTGGATCCAGTTACTTGGTCTCTGTGAGCCTCAGTTTCATCATCTGTAAAATGGAGTTTACCTGCAGGACTGCCATCCTCCACTCCAGGGTCACTGCCGACATGATGATCATTGTGACTGGAACCCCTGGAGTTTACATCATACCCTGCTGGGCCTGTTTACCTGGTAGGGTGATGATGTGGGTGAAATGAGAAAATACTAAATCCTCAGCGTGGAGCTGCCTGACACACTGCAGGTGCTCAGTAAATGTGGCTTCCTTCCAAGTCCCCTGGGAGGTTGTGTTGCCTGAGGCCTGGCCATATGCAGAATGGTCATATGTCCCTTGTCCCTCCATCCCATTGCCCTCTCAGGGGCTTGGAAATACACAGAACACTTCTATCACTTTTATGGGAATGAATCAAAGAAATGAAATATCCTATATCCTGTAGTCTTGCAGAATGATGACCCAGTGGTTCTCAAAGGGAATCATCAAGGATCAAGGGAGTCACTAAAATGCAGACTCCTGGGCTTTGCCATTGAAGACTGGACTCAGTCTAGTATGAACTGGGGCCCAGGAACCTGAACTTCTCACAGTGCTCATACCCCTTCCTATAGTCAGGGTCTAGGAAGCGCCAGCCAGCTTCTGTCAGCCCATAGGGGCAGTGCCCATTGAGGCCCACTGTGTGTTCATGGTAGAGGCGCTCTGGAGGGGCTCCCCTCCTGCTTCCCAGGCCCCCTTCACCAACATGCACTATAGCCCTGAGGTGGCCTTTGTAAAAGAACTTTGAATGTCAGTGTTTCTTGCAGCGTTCTACCGAACTGTTATTTGTAAAGGGGATTTTCTGTAAAATGAATCCTGAGTCCTGTATCCCCAATGAATCGCCTTATAGTTCATGAAATGTATTTGTACAGATAACTCTGGAGTCTGCAGTTGAGGGTCTAAGGTTCTCCTCTTCCATGGGGTCCTTGATTCAACACCTGGCCCCCATACCATCTTGTCTGCCCTTTTTCCATCCCTCATGGCCTCCCACCCTGGCTCTGGAAGTAGGGAAAGGGAACCTACTCTGAGATCATAGAGCAAATGAACCTGTGTGCCCATTCCCTGGCGCAGCTGACTGAATCCTCTCTATTCCTTACCAGCTGTGTGGCTAGAATCCAGCCCTTACCACCATGTCTGGTACACAAGTTTTCACTAGATGCTGAGTAAATAAACAAGTCATCTCTTATACATGGAAAATAATAGTAGGTAGCATTAATGAGCAGTGGGCTGGGCAGTCTCAGTACCTTACAGACATTAACTCAGTCATTAGAACAGTCCTATGAGATCCTCACTTCTTTGTCGCAGAGATAAGGATTGTTGACTGAGGTCACAGAGCCAGTGAGTGACCAATCTAGAATTTGAATCCAGGCAGCCAGGCTCCAGAGCCTATGCCCTTGACCTGCACACTGGAGGCCATGACCTAATCCTTACCTGCTGGCTCATTGTGAAAATTAAATGCAAATATCTAGCATTACGTCCAGTATATCCTAAAGACCATGAGTCTGGGCCTCCTGTTCACTCTGGAAGGCAGTGGGGGCCCAGCCACGGAGGTCTGAGGTGCATCTGCCACGGCTGTGTCTGTCACGTGGGTCGTCCTGGGAAGCTCAGGAAGAGAGCCGTCTTCAGCCCTGGTCGGGGTTCTCGTTCTTTCTTCCAAATTGAGAATCAGCCCTAGGGGTTCAGGCCCTGATTGAGTCAGCCTCTGATTGCTGCTGCAGTAATTAGAGCTGTGTGCTCCCGCTGGGCCCTGCCACACCGTGGCTGCTCTCAACGGTGGGCTCAGCACCATTGCTGGGGTAGAGAGAAGGTCATGGGAGCTCCTGGGGCCTTGATGAGCCCTCCAGACCTACAGGTTCAGGTCATGGAGCTGCTGATCTGGAAGGAACACCAAGATCCAACTGGGTCATATCTTACCCAAGGGCCTACAGCTGGGAAATGGCAGAGGAAGTGTGTAGGGCATGCAGCTGCACATTGCTGGAGCTTAAAGGTGAGGCTTGAAGGGGTGGGAGGTGGGCCTAGTGAGGCAGGCAGCGGTTGGCTGGATCAAGGAGGGGCCTGAGTCCCAGGGACCAGGGCACTATGAAAGGGTGTCAGGCAGGGCAGTGGCAGTCAGATGTAGGATTCGGAAAGCCTTAGTGACAGACAGGGCTTCCTTTCAGGCGAAGAAACCGAGACCCAGGGCAGGAGACTCTGATGGGTTCCCAGGGGGTTGGGCCAGGTGGCTGGAGCTGGATGGCAGGACTGGTTGGCACCATGCTCTGTCCCTTTGGCTAACCTCTGCATGGGTGTCTGTCTCCACAGCCAAGCAGGTGTGTCCTGCAGAGAAGCTGAGCTGTGGACCCACCAGCCACAAGTGTGTGCCTGCCTCGTGGCGCTGTGACGGGGAGAAGGACTGTGAGAGCGGAGTGGACGAAGCCGGCTGTGTCACCTGTGAGTCGGGTCAGGCCCCATGGTCTGCCAGGCATGGCCAGGCAGCCTCAGGGAGCAGTGGCCGCTGCTGGTGGAGGCCTGGTCTCAAAGACTTGGTGGATGGAGAGGAAAGGGTGATTGTCAGACACTAGTGATGGCCAGGCACTCTGGGGACATTTCGTTCTTTCATCCTCATGACCACCTCATGAGTAGCCATTGTCACCCCCATTTTATGGGGGAGGAAACTGAGGCTCAGACAAGCGAGGAAAAGTGCCCAGGCCTGAGTAATGGAACTGAGATTCAAATTCACATCTGGATGGCCAAGCCCGTTAGTGTATACCATGCCTGACATCTGCTCATCCATTCCATAAGTCTGTACTGATCTCCAAACAAAGGTAGGAGAACCAGCGCAGGGGGCCAGGGCCAGGGCACTGGCAGTGTCAGTGGGGAGGGGACAGATTCCTGAGGTGTGAAGGACAACTATTGCTGAAATCTCAAGATTTGAGCACAGATACCACAGGGTGGGGAAGTCATTCCCAGCAGCCTCGGCAGGGACAGATGGAAGTGGTCACTGGGACAGTTCCACATCACTGAGCTTCAAACACAGGATTATCTCCTTCCCAGGGAGGGCCAGCAGGGCCTGGGCCAGAGGGGCTGTGCTCGTTTCAATTCACTGGGCACCTACTGTGTGCCAGGCCTGGAGCCAGGCTCAGGAAGGGACAACGAGGTGAATCCTACACACTCTTCCCTCTGGGAGCTCACGATTAATACGGAGACAGACTGGCTACCAATAACTAGGCTGTGAGGCTAAGAGAAATATGAGTAGTCACTTGGGGGCTCTTACCAGGCACTTGCCCACCACTACCTCCCCGGTCCATTCCTTCCACCAGGCTGTGTACTTGCATCTTATCCATCTTCCCTGGCCCAGGGGAAATATCATCTCTTTGGGAGGCTTCTGAGTCACAGCACCCTGGATTCTAAGTCTGGAGTTCTGATGTATCTGAAGCAGGAAGCATCTGGGTATGGGGGGAGATCCTGGCTGGGGCTAGCGATTTCAAAGCCTTGCTGATGGCACTGGCTTGTTTCTTCAGTCATGATAATTTTGCAGGGCCTCAGTGGCCAATGAGCATCCTCTTCCTTCCTTACCCCGCACTCCCGGCACTCCCCACCCCACCCCTGTAATCAGCAGTTTCCACAGCCTGAGGGGCCATCAGCCCCTATTGCACGGGGTGGGAGTATCTCTAACTAGGGCGTGTTGTGGCAGGAGCATTCCTCCTTTACTGTAGGATGTTAGAGGGTCTTGGTTGGGCTTCTGTGCTGTAGCTTCCAACCACCTGGGTGGTAGAAAAAGAATTCTCCCTTCTCTTACCCCTCAGAGCTTCTCCCAAGTGTGAGCAGTAGGAGTGGAGTCTCTGGGTGTCCGCCTGAGATTCTTCAAGTTGCTGTCAGTTTCAAAACCTCAGGGAGAACTCAGGAACAAGAAACACTTCCTCCCAGAACTCCAAACCTGGTGTCCCCTGGACATGTACAAGCGGAGTCTGGGCAGGGAGAGGGGAGCTAATCCAGGCATCTATGAGATGTGGAGGAGCAGACATTACAGGGTAGTTAGTGTGTGCTTTTCCCTCCAGTGCCCCAACATCCCGAAAGGCCCGAAGGAGAAAAAAATGCAACTGTCAGGAACTTGATAGAGCTGTCAGCAACACATGATGAGATGTCTACATTGTGAGACTGAAGACAACATTCTATTTTACATTCACTAACAATGAAAACTGGTAATTTTCCATCAGAAAATAAAACAGACACTTGGCGCCCCCACGTGGACAGATATGGTGCTGCGGCCACCACCATGTTATCCGTGGCCACAGCCGCTGCACACACCCTTCCTGGGCGCCCCCAGGCCTGTTCTCCGCCTCTGTGTAAGGAATGAAGAAGGAAAGGAGATGAGAAGGTCCCTGCTGTGAAAGCAGATTATACTCCAGGAGGGGAGGAGAAACCAGAAAGCTGAGAGGCATCAGAGTAGGAAGGAAGAAACCCAAACCTGAGTTCTGTTTCCTCATCACCATGGACTGACTGTGTGACCCAGGCAAGCTGCCCCTCTCTCTGGCCCTCAGTTTCCCCATGTGTAAGCTGGTGGTCAAGAAGGCCACCAGAGAGGGGAAGCCCAGGGCCCCAGGCAGAAGCAGTGACTCTGCCCTTAAAAACGACTGCACTTCCTTCAATTACTCCTCACAGCTGGGCTGGTCTAGCCACCATCTACTGCACAGCCACCTGCTCCAGGGAGCTCTGTGCCAGGGCCTCAGGACAAAGCTGGGTCTGCCTGGGAGCCTCTCCCCATGCAGTTTATGGTCTCTGGGCAGATGGAGGAGGGCACGAGACCCAGACACTTGAGGGTGCTGTGAAGGGCACCCAAAAGGAGAGAAGAGGGCGGGAGCAGCAGGGGAGCAAGAAGTGTGTTATGCAAGAGGTGGAATTTGGACCCTTGAAGGATGGGAACTTGTCGTTGTGAAATACAGAAACAGTGGTGGGTAAGAGGTGGGCACCCAGCAGATGGAACGCTTGGGCAGAGGCCTGGAGGTGAGAGCAGGTGCAAACAGTCCAGTGTGGTTGAGGCCAGGGTGTGTGCTGCCGTGAGGTCATGGGGCATAGAAGTGAGGCTCCATGCCAGTGGCCTTGGACACCAGGCCAGGGCACGTAGATGGGACGGGGCAGGCAGACGGGGCCGGGGAGGGACCTGAGCTGTGCTGTAAAGAAACAGCCCCTGGACCTAGTTTCCTGGTAGGATCAGTGTCATGGTACATATCATTTCCTAGCAACGTCCCGAAGCTGACTTCAAGACAGGCCGCGCTCTGCCGCTTTAGACTCACCTAGTCCCACCATAATGCCGCAGAATAGCAATTCTCACCCCCGTTGGGGCCGGGGAGGTTTGGGGAGGCCCCGCATGACCCGGGCAGGACCCGTACTGGAAGCCCCCTTCGCCGTTTGGCTCCCCCGCAGGGCTCATTCTTGCCGGTAGGTGAGGGTCTGCGGCCCCGGGCTCCAGGGACGGGGTTCGGCGGGCCGACGGCTCTCTGTCCCGCGCAGTGTGCGCCCCGAACGAGTTCCAGTGCAGCAACCGCTCTTGCCTGGCCGCCGTGTTCGTGTGCGACGGCGACGACGACTGCGGCGACGGCAGCGACGAGCGCGGCTGTGCTGACCCGGCCTGCGGGCCCCGCGAGTTCCGTTGCGGCGGCGACGGCGGCGCCTGCATCCCCGAGCGCTGGGTCTGCGACCGCCAGTTCGACTGCGAGGACCGCTCGGACGAGGCAGCCGAGCTCTGCGGCCGCGCAGGCCTGGGGGCCACGTCCGCGCCCGCCGCCTGCGCCGCCGCCGCCCAGTTCGCCTGCCGCAGCGGCGAGTGCGTGCACCTGGGCTGGCGCTGCGACGGCGACCGCGACTGCAAGGACAAGTCGGACGAGGCCGACTGCCGTAAGCCCCCGCCCTCCACGTCGCGCAGCCCTGCGCACCAAGCTCAGGCGCCGCGGGTGCGCGCCGTCCCCAGCGCAGGCTTCCTCTCCTCGCTTCCTCTGCGGGCCTTCGCCTGTTTTACTGGGGAGAGGAGCCCGAGCTGGGGAGGAAAAGCCAAGTGGCCTGTTTGAGGTCACGTAGCTACTAAGCTGTGGCGCTCAGGTTTAATTCCAGAGGACAAGGGTCTTCACTGCCTCCTGTGCCCTTGGTGATGCCCTCCCTGTCATACCCCCACCCCTGCCTTTTTGTCCCAGACATTCACCCACTGCTCCCAGGGCCCCAGACGTTGGTACACTCAGGCACTTGCCCCAGCCTCTGTCCCTGCTGGGCCTGCGCATCCCTACAGGCCTCGTGGATGCTTCCCAGTCCCAGCTGGGCTAAGCTACCACAGTTCCCTGAGCACCCTTCTTGTCCGCACACCCCACACTGTGATGTCCTCCTATGTCTGTTCCTCCGCCCTCCTCTGCCCAAGAGCTCCTGGAGGATGGGGAGGCGCTTAGTAGTCTCTGCATAGCACCCTGCACATGGGTGCCCAGGAAGGATTTGCCAAAGGGGTGAAGTCATTAAGTTAATGAGCACCAAGACTCAAAAGAAGGCATGTCTGCTCTGGAGGGGTGGCCCTGGGGAGAAGACGGTGGTTGGGAACACAGGAGACCTGAGTTTTAGTCCTGGTTCTGCCAGCCAGAGTGCCGTGTATGACCCTGGGTAAGGCCTTCCTCCTCTCTGAGCTTCAGTCTTCCCGTCTGTACACTGGAAGTGCCTTGGCCCGGTGTCCTCTGAGGACTCCCAAGCTCAGCCACTGGTTCTGTTCTTGCTGGGGTGGATATGGGGTAGGGTGGGGGTAAGGGGAGAAGACTTGGCCCAATATCACATTGGCCCTGACACTCTCCCCTTGTACTCTCCTGGCAGCGCTGGGCACCTGCCGTGGGGACGAGTTCCAGTGTGGGGATGGGACTTGTGTCCCTGCAATCAAGCGCTGCAACCAGGAACAGGACTGTCCAGATGGGAGTGATGAAGCTGGCTGCCTGCAGGGTGCGTGGTAGGAGGCCGAGGGGCAGATTCCTCTGTGAAGAGAGGCCCTGAGCTCTGCCCTGGCTCCCTGGAGAGAGCAGAGTTGGGAGAGGTCTCCCCTGGGTCCCCCAGAACATCACTTGTCCCTTAGTCACCCAGACCCCTTCCTTGGGGTTCCAGTGGCCCCAGAACTGAAGTTTTTAGCGTTCTTCAGAAGCTGAATAGGCCTAGGGAGACATGAAAGGGCACTGCAGGAAGTCCACCCCACCTTCGGTCCATATCCAAGCACCCAGGTGCTCCCCTCACTAGGTCCCAGACTGAGCACAGGCTGCATCCTGTTCTCAAGGAAACTCCTTTATTCTCAGATGCCTGTCTGGTCATCATCCCCGCCTGCAGGAGCAGGGATCCTGACCTGGTGGTCATCTGGGGAAGTGGGTAAAAGGTTGGGCAGTGAGGTACCCTCCTCTATCCAAGGCTTGCAGGGCAAAGATTCTCCTCAGATGGGCAGTCCAGCCCCTAGAATCTGCTCTTGCTGCTGCTCTTCCCTCCCAGGGCCCCAGTACTGCCAGATCAGACACAGACCCCCCTGGCCCTGCTACCTAGGTGATGCCCAGGCATCCTGATCATTTTTGGGGTCCTGTCCTTCTATGAGCAGAACTCCCACGGGTCCTGTATTCAGCTGTCTGTCCTGAGCTGCCCTCCGAAGGCCAGTGGGGCAGGGAGCTGGAGCTCAGTTTGCCTCCCATGAACCTGGCCGGTCCAGCCCTCCCAGCCCAAGATCTCACAGGTGCTGTCCACTCTCTTGTCTGGCCCGACAGAGTCAACATGTGAGGGTCCCCGCAGATTTCAGTGTAAGAGTGGCGAGTGCGTGGACGGCGGGAAAGTGTGTGATGCTCAGAGGGACTGCCGGGACTGGTCGGATGAGCCTCTGAAAGAGTGTGGTACTGTACCTATCTATGTTTCCACTGCTGACCTAACCCTCCCTGCCACCGCCACTCCTGGTGTCTGGGCCCAGGCCCTCGCCTGCCCCTCTGACCCTCTCTCTGGACTCACCTCTGTCCTGTGCCCTCAAACAGGGCTCTTTGCCTTTGAGGCCTGTCATTCTGCATTTCTACAAATCTAAGGGCCTTTCCTTTCCAGCCCAGATGCTCAAAATATATGCTTCCTCTCACAAACCCGGCCTCTCCTCACTCCTTCCACGTTCAGACCTCCGAGTGTGTGCTCACTCTGGAACTTTCTCTCTTCTTTAGTGTTTCTGCCCTGGCCTCTGAGGCCTTCCATCCCCTTGCAGGAGTCCCAGCAGAGGGAGGTGTGGGGAACAGCAGGCAGGCAGGCTGCCGATTGAGGAGCACCCCAAGACCATGTGGCTCCAGCCAGGCCTGGGTGAGGGTGGGGCACACCCAGCAGAAGGTGGCACAGCCTGAGTCCTGGGGAGCTTGGACTTCCTGGGAGACCAGGCTTAAGAGACTGGACATGACTCAGGAACAGAATGAGCAACTGCCATGATGGTAGAGCTGTTGGGGTGGGTTCCAGCTGGAAAAGAACAGGGAAGTCTGGGCTGTAGATGGGGTGGGCATCCCAGAGAACATGCTGGAAACCCAGTGTGGGCTCCAGGAAAGCTCATTTCCGAGGTCAGGAGTTCGGACAGAGAATTCCTGGGGGGACAGAGCCTGGGGCAGACGGTCTCTCCCTGCCTCCCTGGCAAACCTGTTCTCACCCAGCACTGCCCCACCCGGGCCCTCAGGAGTTTCGTTCTCCAGAGCACCCCAGGACTAGTGAGTTTCCACCCCTTTGGAGATTTAAAAGTTGATTTTGAAAGGAAGAGAAGCTGGGTGGAGGTCATTCAGCCTCCAACTGGGCTCGCAGGAGACAGACTCCCCTCTTACACTGCCTCCCCTAGAGGCCTACCACAAAAAGTTCTGGAAGAAAAAACCTATGGCAAAGATGACAGTAAGTGGGAGCAACTGAGCATAGCCTCTCCACCCCACCCAGATTTGGGCTTAGCCAGGGAATGCTAACCTACTAAACTCTCTTCTCTCTCATCTTTTGCATGACACACCAAAGAGAAGTATGTACGCATGTGTTTGTGTCTCTGTGCTGGTGAGAGGGCAGTATCTGTATCCATGGCTCCTTCTCTGAGTAAGGCAAGGGAACTGCATCACGTGTCTGTGCGTGTCCCCCACGTCTGTGTGATTGTGTCTGTGGAGTCCACGGGCCTGTCTGCCTCTGCATGTAAGGGGTGTGTGTGAGCATGCAGTGTGTGCACGTGCTGGGGCAAGTGACACTGTCCCTTCCTTCCACGGTACATCACAAATACTACTCAGGCCTCTCTGGACCACCTGCCCCTCTCCTACCCTGCAAGCCCCCAGCAGAATCACCTCCAGGCTAGACAGAATTGGGCAGGCCCTGGGAATCCCCTTCAGCCTCAGCGCTGGAGGGAGAGAAGGGTCCAGACGTGCTACCCATTCTCCTGCCCTGGCCCACCTCATGCACGGAGGACTCTGTGCCTTCCTCTTTCAGAGAAGGTCTGAGTCACTTTGAGCTCTTTCCGTTCCCCTTTAGGACACGTGCCCCCATCAGGTGCTCAACAAATAAATTGTTGAGTTGCTGATACGTGCCAAAGGAGAGGGAGGAAACGAGTGATGCGTGGTGAGGCGCTGAGCAGGTGGGGGAATGAGGGAACAGGCAATGCTGAGGGGACACTGTGGTATGGGAGAGGTCAGGGAAGGCCTAAAGAACAGGAGGATTCCGGGAGGAGGTGCCCCACAGAGACACCCCAAAGCTGCTGTGGCTCAGCCCACTGCACGGAGCTGAGTGCTCCAGAGGGCAAGGTCTGGCTGAGTCATGGGGTTGCTGTGGTCTTGTTCTTTCAGTTCCGCCAACATCCCAGGCAAACAGGAGGCGGCCTAGGGGTAAAAGGGAACATTCTCTCTAAGCATGGCTCAAGGTGGAGGTGGGGCACCCACAGCTGTGCATGTCCTGGGGTGGGCAGTTCAGACCAGCTATGTGCATGGCCATGGCTGGCTCAGTTCAACTCTGCTTGGCTTGGCTGGAGTGGCAGTGCATGAACCCGGTGGGCAGAGGGGTGGCATGCACCTTCCCTTAGCTTGCAGAATTAACCTTCTGTGATTCTAAAGCTCAGAAGATGCTGTGAGAACTTAGTGAGCCTTGGTCTTGGCCTCCTTGACCTTCCCAGGACCCTGCCAGAAGGTGGTAAGGAAGTGGGAGGACACAGGAACCACATGACCTCCTGGCATCCCTGCATCCCGTGCACCAGTTGGTCTTCCTGGGATAGGCCCGTGACTAAGTGTAGAGATAGGGGCAGATGCTGAGAGAAGAGGAAGTGAAAAAAATCCATCATACTTCATGGTAGGAAAAGCAACAGCTCCATGTACAAAAAGGCCTGGGAGTCTTAGATATCCACAAGCTCAATAGGGAGCATCTTTGATTGTTCAGACTTCTGGGTGGCAGACCAACTCAGGGCCCTGTCCAGAGCCCTCATGGACAGATGGAGTGTATCCAGGCAAAGGCACTTGTATGGACGGGGACCAGAAATCAACACTTTAGGGAGATCCTGAGGGTTCAGACTCAGATTCCACTGGGCTCAGGCCCCCGCCACACAGCTGAGCTGGGAGCGGGAGCAGAAGCTGGAGGAGGGCCGGTCCTGTGAGAGGAGCCTTTCAGCAGGCAGTGCTGTTGCAGGTGAAGAGAGCTGCCCCAGGAGGGAAGTGGGCTCCCCGAGGCTGGAGGGGCTAAAGCAAGGGCTTTCAGAAGAGACTGGTTGGACGCAGTACACACAGCCCCTTCAGCTCCGAGGTCGTCAGGAGTAAGAAACGAGTTTGTGAAAGGAAAGACCTTAGGCAGCCCAGCTGCCTCCAGCCTGGTGGTGGACAGAGCCCTGGTCTGGGAGGCAAAGGACCCGAGTTCTGGTTCCACTCTGTCCCTGTCTGTGAGTCGGACCTTGAAGCAAGGACGTGGCCCTCTCTGAACCTCCTCTTACCCAGCCACCTGGCTAATGAGGCCGAGGCTCAGTGAGGTCGCAGAGCATCCTGACTCTGGATGCCCGCTGCCCTGAGTCTGCTTCGCTCTAGGCGCCGCCCCTGCCTGGCCCCACCCCCGCCTGGGCTCCTGGACCCTCAGAAGCCCGCTTTCCTCCCCAGGACTGAACGAGTGTCTGCACAACAACGGCGGCTGCTCCCACATCTGCACCGACCTCAAGATTGGCTTTGAGTGCACGTGCCCAGCAGGCTACAGGCTCTTGGACCAGCAGACTTGCGGCGGTGAGGCCCTCCCCTCCCCCCCAAACCGAGGCTGGTCCTTCTGCCAGTTGTGACCTCTGCTCCTCCCCACAGACATTGATGAGTGCGAGGACCCAGACGCCTGCAGCCAGATCTGTGTCAATTACAAGGGCTACTTTAAGTGCGAGTGCTACCCTGGCTATGAGATGGACACACCGAGCAAGAACTGCAAGGCCGTTGGTATGGACAGCCCGAGATGGGGGGCAAGGGGCAGCTCTGAGGAGTATAGAAAGCAGCCTGCTTTCACATATATGAGGAGCAGATGTGCACATACACCCACATACGGAAAGTAGGTTGCACACACAGTGCTCAGAGTGTACATTTCCATCACACACACAATGCACTGCACACCTAACACCCCCATGGACACTGCAAAGAGCCACCCAGTACAGCCCGCTGGCTCACAACACACAGCGTGTGGACACAGACTGGACCATGCAGACTACACATATACAGCATGGGTGGCCCACACAGAGCATGATAACGTGCAGGCCTGCACACCGATCAGTTCTGCCAACTGAATTGATTCATTTTATTCAATTCTTTATTCTTATCACCTACAATTGTAAGCCCTGGGGATTCAGCAGTAAGCAAAATAGACACAAATCCCTATCTGCCCTCATGGGACTTACATCCTAGTGGAGAAGACAGAGAAGAAATCATAAATAAATAAAATCCAGTGCATGGCAGATGGTGATAATGGCTATGGAGAAATATGAAGTAGGGAAGGGGAGAAAAAAGTCCAGGAGGGCAGTGGGTTACAGTTTTAGATACTTAGAGTGGTCAGGAGCCCTCACCTTCATGAAAAGGTGACACTTGAGTAAAGACTTGAAGGAGGTGAAGGAAGGAACCATACATTTACCTGCAGGAACTGCACTTCAGGACAAAGGAACAGAGAGTGCAAAGGCCTTAAGGCAGGAGATGCCTGTGTGTTCACATAACAAGGGAGCCGGCACAGCCGAAGCAAGGAGACTGGAGAAGACGAAGTCAGAGGGGACATGGGGCAGATCACAAAGGCCTTCCAGACCATTGTAAGGGCTGACTCTCGATTCCACTCTGAATCAAGGAGATGCCTTTGAGGGCTTCGAGCAGCAGCGGAAGGTGGTATACCTTACATGTCAACAGGTTGCCTCTGGTTGCTATGTTGACAGTAGACTGTAGAGGACAAGGGAGGAAGCAAGGAAACTCTTTTAAGAAATTTTTGCAAAACAGAAGAGAGGTGATGGTGGCTTGGACCAGGGTGTCACAGGACAAGTAGTGAGAAGTGGACAGACTGTATATACTTTGAAGGTCAGGATTTATTTTGAAGCAACAAGGCTTACTTATGAATTACCTGTAGGATGTGAGAGAAAAAAGAGTCAAAGATAACTCCAAAGTTTTTGGCCAAACAGCTAGAAAAATAGGATTGCTGTTTATGGAGTTGGGAAAGATGGTAAGATAAGCAGGGTTTGGGGAATATTAGATTGATTTGGACATGTTAAGTTTAAGAAAACTGTTCAGACATCTAAGTAGAGGTATTCACTGGTAGGTGGACATATGAGTCTGGAGTTCAGATGTACAAATACAATACGCAATAAATAGATTCTAACAAGAGAGAAGCCACAATGACTGGCACATAGTCCATAAACCCAAAAAGCATACCACCCAAACTGTACAATATACAACACATACATTAGCATATAACTTGCAAACTTCTTACCCCCATATGGGACATATATACAACATGGATTATATATTTCCAACACACCACTGCACATGTATACCCTTGAATATCTAAGATGCAGTTACACAAAAACTCAAATGGTAAACACACTGGATTCCTGTCACAGTCATAGCTCTCCATCAAAATCACCTCAGCCATCCTGTAACCCAGCTCCTGCCTTTAGGAAGTGCCACTGCTTCATTTCATCATTCTGGGGTGAGGAAAATCAGTTTGTTGGAGGCAGAACTGGGCCTTGCAGTCAGCCTTCCTCCTCCTGCCTTCCTGTGCTTGAGCCCCGTTTTCCTGTGGTCTCTGTTTGCACCACATCCTCCCTCTCATCCCCACTCTACTTTGAAATAGTCGCCATCATCACACACAGGTCACCTACCCGGCCCCAGGCCCCACATGGCTCTGTGCTGGTCCCCCTATGTCCCCGGGGAGCACATTAGCCTGACACAGGTGCACAGTGACGGGGACCAGGTGGCCTGCAGAAGTGTCAACTGGAAAACAAGAGGGCGAGAAGGCCAACTGGAAAACAAGAGGGCGAGAAGGCCAAGGCAGGTCCAGGCAACTCAGACAGTGTTGGTGCCTGGGAGCAGCCCAATATGTCTAAACCCAGCTGGGGACAGCAGCGTGCTAAGAGCTGAGCCTTCAAAGGCCTGTGGGGCAGTGACCCTCCATAAGGAGTAGCCAGGAACATCTGGGTCACTGATAGTCTTATCCAATCCTAAGTCTAATAAAAATGGGTTTTGTATATACCTGGGCAACTGTGGGTTGACTGTTGCATGTATATAATCTGTGTCATATATCACACATCCCACCCATGCTTTTGGCTCAGAATGAAGTGCAAACTCCTCACCCAGCTCACAGGACCCTTGGTGATCTGGCCCCTGCCAGCTAATGCAGTTTCATCTCTTGCCATGTACCCAGATACACTCTGCATAAAATAAATACTCACAATGACCTCCTTGAATCTCACCCCCAGTTCTCCTGTCTGTCCTCCACGCCATAGTTTCAGTCACCCTCCTAGAACACTTAATGCTCATGTTGCCCCTTTCTGAACTATTGTAGTGGGGAGATGGTAGCTATTGGGAACGATGCATTCTAGGTAGAGGGGACAAACGAGGGAAAGCCCCGGTAGCAAAGTCCTGCTGTGGCCGGGTAATGGTGGGTGGTCTGGTGGCTGGAATCTGGAGGAGTTAGAGCGGTGGGTGATGAGCCTGGACAGGGAGCTTGGGGTCCCACTTCAGGCCTTCAACGCAAGCCTAAGGAGGAAATGGGTAATCATAAACATTTTGGGGGAGTTTGTGTCTAATATAAAGAATAAAAATCCTCCTGTTAGGTGTGGTACTTTGCATATTATGTACCCATTATTTATTTGTACCCATTTTTCATCTTTTTTAAAGTACCCATTATTTCATCTGCTCCTCTAGCCTCTGAGGTAGGAATTACCACCCCTATATTGTAGGAAAATGAGGCTTCGCTCAGCAAACCAGTGGCAGAGCCTTGGTCCCAGATCCCCCACCTCTGGCACTGACCCTTTCTCACCCTCCTGCATGGCAGCTGGCAGAAGCCCAACCCTAATCTTCACCAACCGGCACGAAGTGCGAAGGATAGACCTGGTGAAGCGGGACTACTCGCGCCTGATCCCTATGCTCAAGAATGTTGTGGCGCTAGATGTTGAAGTGGCCACCAACCGCATCTACTGGTGTGACCTCTCCTACCGCAAGATCTACAGGTGAGCAGGGGCAGGTGTCCTGCAGCCAGGTCTGGGTGGAGGCAGCGCTCTGGCAGAGGAGAGGAAGGGTGGCCTCTGGGCCCCTCTGCCTATAGAATGCCCCAGGTTAGAACTGGGGCTTGGGAAGGGGCGCAGGATCACAGTGGATGTGGAACTGCCAAGGCTTCACCACCTCCAGGGCTGGCCCAGGAGGAAGGCTCTGCTGGGAGAGCTGCTTTGAGCCCCACACACCTAGCCTTTACTGACTTCTGGTGGCCTTAGGGGGTGGGCAGTGCAAGACACAGGAAATATTCATCCAAGGCAGAAAGGAAAAAATCCCTGGCTTTGGTGAGGGCTGTCAAAGCAGCTCACATATCTGTGTGCTCTGTCCTGAGAACTCAGAGATGACTCAGACCCAGTCCTGCCTGGAGGATCCCACTCATAACACAGTGACTTCCACTGTGATGATCGTGAGGGGGAAAGGACAGAGGAGGCCTGTAACCTGATCTGGGGGTTCAGAGAACTCTCCCCAGATGCCCCAGTCCAGCCCTGCAGTGTGCGACACCAGTCAGTGGACCTGGGCTCTTGGGAACGCTCACCCATGTGAGGAGGTGCTCTCCTAGGCCTTGTTAGACATCCTCCCTGCATGGCCAGGCCCCCTTTCCCCTTTTGGCAGTCATGTCCTGTCTTTGTGCTGAGATCCGCTTGGCAGAGCTGCCGATGACGCTCTTTAAGAATGATGGATGGACGGATGGACCAGGTGCTGCCCACTGACCACTCGATGCCTCCACAACCCCCTAGCACACAGACACACATTCAGTTCACACGCACACAGAAAAGCTAGAGCAGTGCCTGTCCAACAGTTGGGACTGGGAGAGGCAGGATTCGATGACAGACTGTGGGGGGACAGCAGGAGGAAGAGTCAAATGAACTTCCAGGTTCCTGCGGGGTCTCCGGTTTCTGGTGGGGAGTTTCCGGGAGAGCGGTGCCATTCTCTGAGATGGAAGCAGCGGGGGAGAATCAGTGGGCACTTGGGCAGCCGGGCTGACTGGCTGAGGCGAGGGGAATGGGGATGAGCAATTTTGGATAGGTTGAGCTCAAGGTGCACATGGGATATCCAAGGGGGGCCAGGTGGCTGTATAGTCTAGAGCTTAGAAGAGTTGTTGGAATGGGAGTTTTGAACAACAGTGGGCATTGTGGGACTAATAGCCCAGGGAGAGGATGTAGGGGAGAAGAAACCTTTGGGAAAACAGCATTTGGAAGACAAAGTCCTATTGATGTTGCCTCCTGAGTGTCTATATTTTCAGCGTCTTCTCTCCATTGTCACTGGCACGACCCTCTGCAGAGCCTCTTCATCACTCACCTAGATGCTCTGAGAGCCTCCTAACCAGTCTCCCTGCCTTCATTCCTTCCCCTTCCAATCTACCTTGTGTTCCCTGATGCCACAGTGCTAACATGCCTTTCTGATGTGCCCTCCGACCTGTGTTCAGCTACCATTCCAGGATAAGACCCTCCTCCTTAGCATGGCATCCACAGCCCCTCAGGATGTCACTCCTGCCTACACTTACTTCTAGTCTTGAAAGTACTGGTCTTATACCCCACCTGCTTAGCTCTTCCCCCACTGGATAGCTCACTGTTCCGGAACACATACCTCTGGGCATTTGCACATGCCGTTCCCTCTGCTTCTGTTCTTGGTGTTCCTAATGAACAAGTCCTTCAGGACTCAACTACAGAGCCTTCTGCAACCCTCCAGGGATGGTGCAGTCTCCATTTCTGTGCTGCTGAGGCCTCTCGTGCTGCCATATCACATTGTACTGTAATTACCTGACTGTAAATTTCTGTCCTCCACTAAACTGAGCTCCTCCAGGCCAGATGCTGTGGCTGATTCAAGTCTGTATGCTTACTTGGTGGCCCAGGAAATATGTTGAATAGAAATTAGCCAAGTTCCTCTAAAATCTACAGCAGTGGCCCAGAGGGAAGGGGTGAGGAGGACAGGTACACAGACAGCTCCAGGTGGGCCTGTGGAGGATGGAGCACCCACCCCATGGCCAGCTCTGGTTATCCTCAGTGCCTACATGGACAAGGCCAGCAACCCGGCAGATCAGGAGGTCCTCATTGACAAGCAGCTGCACTCGCCAGAGGGCCTGGCAGTAGACTGGGTCCACAAGCACATTTACTGGACCGACTCGGGCAACAAGACCATCTCAGTGGCCACAGTGGATGGCAGCCGCCGATGCACTCTCTTCAGCCGTGACCTAAGTGAACCCCGGGCCATCGCTGTCGACCCCCTGCGAGGGTGAGTGACCCCACCCCAAATTCCCATTCTCCCCCCATCGGTACTCAGTCCTCAGGTGTCTGCCACAGGAACTATCTTGAGCCCCTGGCCACTCACGCACAGACAGGGGAAGAAAGTCCGTGTGGGCCCCTCAGCCTATTTAACCCCTGACCAAGGGGCCTTTGGGCATTGGTCACCAGGGCTCTCTTATCACATCATAGAATCAGAGCTTCTCGGAGCAGGGTAGGGCTCTAGGTTTGCCTGGTGGGGACTCCTGGGGCAGGAAGGCTTTCCCCAGGCTGCTGCATGCTGCCAGTGGGCATCTGGTAGCTGCTCACACACATGCCGAGACAGAGGGGCTGTTTCATTTGGGGACAGCTCTGCCCATTAGAAAATGTTAGGCTTTTTCCTTCATATTTCCAAATCTGCCTAGCTTTGACTTCCTCTGATGGCCTCTGGAATTTTAATAAACATGTCTACTCCCTGCCCTGCAGGATAGCCGGCAAGATTTGAGGACCAAGATCACTGGGTCTACTCTGCTCCAGGCCGCCCACCTCCATTCCCATGCCTGTCCCCACAGTCTCTTGGCCCCTCACCACCCAGGCTGCCTTGCTCTGGCCACACCTCCATATAGAGGGTAGGGATCCTGAACGGAGCAGGCCCCCTCCCTCCCTCCATGGGGATGTCCTGAGAGGGCATGATTTCCAGCAGCTGCATCATATTACATTTACCAGGATCACTAGCTTCTTCATATTGCTGTTTCCCTAATTGTTAAAACAGGGATCAGAAAACCCTCTTCTTCCAGTGGTGGCAGCGGAGGGCAAGGGAACCCCCTGAGAGGACGTGCAAGGTCTTGGGGAGTGACTGACAGCTGCCCTTTAATTCATGTGCATCAGGTGCTAGGCTCTTCACAGATACTAAGTCCTCTCATTTAACCTTTGCTTCAGCCCTCTAATGCAGACCTGGGGCTGCACTTGCCCTGCCCTGTCCCCAAGCATACAGTTATACCCAGCCCATCCCCAGTTCACTATGGTCTTGTCAGGGACCTAGATAATTTGAGGGGCGCTAACAAAGGGACTATGTACAAAGGGGTGGCTAAAGGCTGATACACTCCCCTGGACTAGAAACAGTAGGCGGTTACCGACCCTAGGCTTGAGTGGCAGCGTCAGGGAGGGTTACCTGAAATGGGAAGGAGAGAGTGGGGAAGAGAGGGTCACCTTGAGAGCATTAGCCAGTTGCAGGCAACTCTGTAGAGAGGAGTCAGGGAAATGAATATCCTGACCTCAGTGTCTCCCTCCTCCCCCTCCAATGTTTTGCTGAACAAACTGGGAGCCGGAAGTCTGGGAGGCAAGCCCACTGATGTGGTTCTCACACGGGTCAGCTTTTCAGCATACAGAGCAGAATGCAGATGGGTAGAGAGTGACCCCAAATGCAAGGTATCTAGGACAACCGTTCAGCCCCCAAGCCTGGAGTCAGCCTTAGATCAACACCAGATTTCAGCAGAGGCAATCTGGGGGAGGATCAGGCACACAGGCTTTAGAGTCCAGCTTGAATTTGTATTTAAATTTGAAGGCTGGCTCCACCACTTATTAACAATGTGATCTTAGGGAAGTCAACCCCACTGAGCTACAACTGACTCATCTGTAAACTGGGACTAATAATTATACCCCTCTGGGGCTGTGGTGAGGCTAGAATGAAAACATTACTGTGTTCAACAAATATTAAATAAGGACCTATTATCTATCACCCATGAGCTACCACGTGAGCCAGGTAGAAAATGAGAAACAAGACAAATAAGAGCCTGCGTTCAGGGGAGATTACAGACCAGTGGGGAACAGACAATAAATACACCAGACTTCCCAAATGTATACATAGATGCCGATGGTGTAAGTACTGTGGAGGGAAGAACAGGGTGCTTTAAGACATAATAACAGAAAGAACTTATTTGCATTGAGGGGTCAGAGAAAGATTCTCTACTGAAAAGACATTTAAACTGGGGACTAACCAGGGAAAGAGTGGGGGCCAGAGGCTCTGTGAAGGCCTAGAGTGAGGAAAGCTTGGTGCCCTGGAGGAACTAAGAGAACCCAGTGAAGCAGTTATGGGGTTTGTAGGGGTGCAGCACGATGGAAGGAGAAACAGCCAAAGGGTAGGCAGGGACCCACGCATGCAGAGCCCTGTCAGCTGTGGAAAGGACTTGGGGTTTTACTTTAAGGGCAATAAGAGATGATGGGGGTGGTCTGAGTCACATGGGCTATAAAGTTTAACAATAGGACAGTGACAACTTATTTCCATTTGTGAAAGCTTGTTTGGGCTGTATTTGAGGGGGATTAGAGGGGGCAGTGATTAGAGGATAAGATTAGTGAACTTACACTTACAAGCACTCACCACTGGCACTTACAGGAATGTATGCTTTTACATGGACGTGAAAACTGTATTTGTAGATTCATGAGGTGAAACCACCCCACCTCGTGCCCAGAACACACTAAGTGCTCAGTAATGTTAAAGCCTAGAGAGAGGCCCTGGACAGAGTTCCAGTTGCATGGCCCTGGGTAGGCTGTCCATCCACTTTGTCCTCTGTAGACCAGGACAGTAAAAGGAGGTTGACTGGCTTTTCCAGCTCTGGCCCTTTAAGGCTCTAGTTGGAGCTGCCGGAAGTAAGAGATGGGCCCACTGGCTGTTCCACCAAGGCTGGAGGTACTCTTGGGGAATGCAGGCTCCCCCTCAGATGAAGATGGGATGGTTCCAGTAGACGTCAGAGGTCTTCCCAGTCCCCATTAAGCATAATCTCCAACATTCCCTGGGTTGTTGAGCCCATGTGACCCAGACCACCCCAGTCATGTCTCTTGATGACAAGAAGCCAAATTGGGTTCTTCTCTCTTTCAGGTTCATGTATTGGTCTGACTGGGGGAACGAGGCCAGGATCGAGAAGGCTGGGCTCAATGGCGTGGAACGGCAAACACTTGTGTCAGACAACATTGAATGGCCCAACGGAATTACCCTGGGTGAGCCCTGCCTTCCCTGGGTTGGGGGCCTGCCCTAGCACCTGGTCCTGACCACTGTCTAGAGCTCCAGGGGTCTTGTTTCCTTGTCCCCTCAGAGTGCCTGCGCCTGTGTTTCCTGATGGGTACCTCCTGGCCTCATTCTGAGGCCTGGCTTGGTAATGTAAGCCATTTCCAGGAGGGGGCACAGAGTTGCAGAGATCCAGGTTGGAGTCCCAGGCTCATGACCTGATCCCCCATCTCTTTTTTTCTCCCCTAGATTTGCTGAACCAGCGCTTGTACTGGGTAGACTCCAAGCTGCACCAGCTGTCTGGCATTGACTTTAGTGGGGGCAACAGAAAGATGCTGATTTCTTCCCCTGACTTCCTGAGCCACCCTTTTGGGATAGCTGTGTTTGAGGTAAGCCTCTTAAGGGGAGAAATGGCCCCATCAGGAAGCTGAAGCCTAGAAAAGTCTTATTCAAATAGGACAACTCCCTGAGACTTGTCCAAATGGAAACCAAGGGACAGGGAAACCAACTGACTTGTTTGTGCACAATTTATGAGCTGCCTACAAACAAAGGCTTTGCAGTCTGTTGTTCACCTGGCGGCCTTTCCTCTGCTCCCTTTCCAAGACTTTCCTCTCAGAGCACTTCTCAAGGGTAAGTTTCCTCCATACTAGGCCATGTATGTTTCCTCTCTGCACCTCAGCACCCAGCACTGTGCCCACATAAATAGAAGGTACCCAAGAAAGAGAGGGAGGAAGAAGGAATATCATTTCCTTAGAACCATTTACTATGGACTGAGAGATGTTACTCAACTCAGTACATTTTTGCCAGCCTTTGCTGGACCCTGGGGTCATAGAAGTGAGTCAGACATCATCTGAGTTCTCAGGAAGCTCCCAGGAGGGTGAAGAGGCAAGGCCCTCCTGTGTTCTGACCCAAACAACCATTCCCCTTGGAGAACAAGGAAGCCAGAACCAACCAAGGTCTCACACATCTACCTCTCCCCCCAAACTAACTTGCCACCAAGGGGAGGGAAAGCAAGGGGACAGTGGTCTGTGGTGGGCGCTGGCAATATTCCTTTGGAGTGACATCACCCAGCACTGCTCTGAAATTGTGGGCAAAGCCCCACCTCCAAGTCCAATCCCTGTTTCAAAAGGCAGGTGTGTTGAGACACGTGTGTATGTGCTTGTGCGTATGTGTAACATATACACACCAAATATATGTATGTGCATGTGTATATGTAAGTGCGTCCATTTAAAAGCTTGCATTCCTGTAAGTGCTAGTGGCAAGTGCTTGTAAGTGTAAATTTGTATACCAGTACTTAGCCAAGTGCTTATTTAGGTATAACTGTGCCTTTGTACGTGTAGATGAACGTGTGGCTATATGTCCAGGTCTGTGCATGAAGCTACATAGTTGTATCTACAAACATGGATTTGCCTACAGATGCATGCCATTCTCCGTGTGCCATTCTAGATTTGTGTGGACTAACCACTGGGTGTATACACATGTACACTCTGAGGCCATGGAAGGCCCAGCAGGGAATAGTCCTCAGGAACTCATACATCCCCTCCAACCTTGATCCCAGGCCCCAGTAATGGTAACAGCTAAAAAGACCCAACCTTGGGTTTCTGCTGGGCTCCAGGAAGGAGGCCTAACTGAGCATTAATGAGCAGCCTTCAAGCCAAAGCCCCAAATCACAGAATAACTCTCTGAGATAGAAGGGGGGTACCAGAGCATAGGCCACAGATCAGAGGTTGTGTCCACTGTGGATGTTTAGACAGGATTGCCCAAGGGAGATGTCAGGGCAGTTCTGTGCCTATGGTTTGGTGCCAAGCCTTTAGACTGATGTCATGGGTTTAGGTTCTAGGCCTCCCATCTGCATCTGTACCCCACAGGACAAGGTGTTCTGGACAGACCTGGAGAATGAGGCCATTTTCAGTGCAAACCGGCTCAATGGCCTGGAAATCTCCGTCCTAGCTGAGAACCTCAATAACCCACATGACATTGTCATCTTCCATGAGCTGAAACAGCCAAGAGGTGAGCCTTCCCTGGTCCCAGGTCCCCTGCTCATGTCCTCTCTCTCCCTTAGACAGCCTGTGTTCACTTGCGTGACATGTAGTGTCTCAGCAGCCCCAGAATAATGGCAGCAATTCTCTCATTGCTAGTGTGCTTTGCAGTCACATATTTTATCTCATTTTACCTCAAGCTCTTGAGGAAATAAGGCTGGGTGTAAATAAATACATAAGTCCTTTTTTGCCAGTCCTACAAAGTGTAGGTATTACTGTTCTCACTTAACAACTGAGGAAACTGTAGCTCAGAGAGGTAAAATAATGTTAGCAGGTGGCAGAACTAAAACCTAAACTCAAGTCTGAGTCCAGAGCTCCTGCTATAAGGGAGCACACTGCTTCTCATTTATTGCTGTGCCCATTTTGCAGGAGCATAAGCTGATGTAGCCTAGGGTCATACAGTAATTCAGCTTGTTGGTCCGGAGTGGAAGCCAGGAATCCTCCTAGCAGGTTTCCCCTCCCCTAGCACTAGGATATACCAAGTCTAACTGTACTGAGGTGTTGGCTGCCAGGGTGAAGGTGGGACAGTGTAGAGGAGTAAGGAGATAAGGTTGGCCCTGATTCGAGATGTGGTGTATGGCATAGGGGAAAAAAACATAGACTTTGGATTCCAACAGACCTCAATTTAAATTCTGTCTCCAAATTACCAGAGGTATAGCTTTGACAGGTTTGTTCTCTCTGAGCCTCTGCGTCTTTTGTCAGTCAAGTCTCAGAGTTGTTAGGATTAAATGAAAATGTAGGGACAAAACACCAGGCACAGTGCTGGAAGGTGCCTAATAAAAGTAGCAGAGAAAGCTTTTTGAGCAAGCTGAGCAGGAAGGGCTTCGTCCTTGGGAGGAGGGAAGACCTGGCATGTCCAGTCTTTGCCCTAACTCTCTCCCCCTCCGTGTGCCATTAGCTGCAGATGCCTGTGAGCTGAGCACCCAGCCCAATGGAGGCTGTGAGTACCTGTGCCTTCCTGCTCCTCAGATCTCCAGCCACTCTCCCAAATACACGTGTGCCTGTCCTGACACAATGTGGCTGGGCCCAGACATGAAGAGGTGCTACCGAGGTGAGCAGACCTCCCAGGAGGGGTGGCCCTGGAAATGCCAGGCTCCATCCTGCTGAAATCCTCCCTGGCTTCTGGGCCACCATAAGCTCTCATTCTTCCTGTGTTCTGTGGCTGCTTGGTGCCTTTGCAGGCTCCTCTTTACCTTCCTTGAATGCTGGTGTCTCCCAGGGTCCTCCCAAGGCTTTGTCTTCTCATTACCAAGAAAAGTGCACATATACATACAACATCTTAAAGTCCATTTCAGGGGGTTTCTGGAACCCCTTGAAGACCTCAAATTAAGAAACCTTGATCCCATGGCCTCAGTCACTGTTTACATGCAGTTGACTATCCGCTTGCCTGTTTTTCACCAAGAACTTAGAGGCTTGTGATATGATCAGGACTAATAATCAGTTACGACTGCAACCATACAAATTTACATTCATTCTCTAGTCTTGATGCAGTGCCAAGACCTTTTGTTTGAGCATAGTCTGCAGCATCATTTATGATTTCTAGGTTCAGCTGTTTAAAGTGGCTTGAGAATTTAAACATAATGGAGTAATAGTATGCATACAAAATCTTCCAGATTTATACCATTTTCCCACCACCCAGTCTACAGTGGTCTTGTGCATACCTAATTCTGCAGCGTGTCTTAATGGCTTATCTTTATTAAATCAGCATGCAGTATAAACATAGACAAAGAGCTTGAGATTCAGCTAAAGATAAGATCATAGCCCGTTCAGGAGGATTAGGGAAGGCTTCGCAGAAGTAGCATTTGAGCTGAACCATGAAGATGAGTTCATAAGTGTGGTTCATGGGGACATAATTTAGGCACCAAAGTAACAAAATTGTCTTTCCAAGTGACCGCCATGGTCTTTCTCCTCCAGCACCTCAGTCTACCTCAACTACAACGTTAGCCTCCACCACGACGAGGACGGTGGCCAACACCACAAGAGCCCCTGGGACCACGGCCCACAGCCCCACTGACGAGAACCGCAGCACAGAGACCCCGAGCCTGGCAGCTGCGGTCCCGAGCTCAGTTACTGTTCCCTGGGCTCCCAGCATCAGCCCGTCTACCCCAAGCCCTGCAACCAGCAACCACTCCCAGCACTGTAAGGAAATGAGTATTCCTCCATGACATGGGTGCGGGGTCCTAGGGAAGCCGGGATGGGGGTATGTGGGAAGAAGAGATCAACCAGAGCTAAATTCTGGGTACCTCCGAGGAGGAAGCAGAGGGAGGTAGAGTGCCCACCTGCAAGCTAGTGGTCTTAGGTGCCCCTAACTTAAGGAGCGTCTTGAGGGAATCCACTTCCTGTCTCTGAGCCTCACCTACAAAGTGGGAATAATAACCCCTCCCCTAGGTCCACAAGACTGCCGCGAGAGACAGAGGAGGCAGTGGAAACAGAAGTGCTGGCACACACAGCCTCTACCAACTCCATGTGTGTGTGCTGTCACACATTACTGATGTGTGTATGAGGGAGTATCCTGAAGATTTGGAAACTTCCGAAGCTCCATTCTTAGCACCCTCAGTCGGCCCCAGACAGTAATATCCGTAACTATGGTCTGCTCTCTTTCCAAACCCTGGGTGAAAGTAATTGAGTTCACCACTTATTAAATCCCTGGGAGCAGTAATTGTTACTGCTAGAAATGTTCTTTCTCATTAGTCAGCAAATACCTTTTTAACTGACGTACCTGCCAGGGGGAGTTCATTCAAGAGGATAAACTATCTTGCATTTTTTCCCATACATGCGTGGCTCAGAAACTAAGTAACTTGGCAGCACCTTTCTCACCAGGCCCATCTCCCAGCAGAAGCTGGGTTTTCAGAGTTGAGCACTCACCCTAAGGTTTGGAGAGGCAGGGGGAACAGGTCTGAGCTCCAGTTCCTCTCCCTGGGGGCAGAGTCCCTGACCAGGAAGCCTCCCGGGCAGCTTAATCAGGCTCTTGGCCTTCGTATCCCCGCCCAGTGCTTGCTCTGGCCGTGCAGTGACAGGGCAGCAGAATTTCCACAGGAAGCTCTGTAAGTGGTGCAGCTTTTTTCTCTGCTTAATAACTAGGCTCCCATCGAATAACCAGGAGAGGCAGACACACTGAAAGGATGGCCCTTTGGCCATTGCCCAGGGTACTCATCTCCTCTCTTGGAGCAAGTGTAGATGGTAGCTCCTCTTCAGCCTCAGAGGGCTGTCATGAGGATCCGAAGGAAAAATGCTTTTTAAACTAAAAAGTGCCATGCAAATGTTTTAATGAAGATAGTTATGAGTGAAAAGGATGATACAACATGTATTCTTTTAAATGCAGTACATTTTCCAAGCACTTTTCAGTTAAGAATGTACTTTTATATACCCTATTTTATTTTGGCCTCACAGTACTGCCCACCCTCTTTGAACTAGACAAGGCCAAGCCAGGCACTGTGCTAAGTAAGCATTCTAAATGAATTATCTCATTCTAAGCTTCACATTGTCCCAAGGAGTTAGGTAATATCATTATGCCTATTCTAAAGATAAAAAAGTATAATGTATAATAACTTGCCCACATAAGTGGTGAGTTGTAGAAACAGGATTTAAGCCCAAGAAATCTGACCCAGGACTCTGTGCTCTTGATTCTGTTACATTATACCACATCCCATTTTAATTACTTATTAAAAATAAACTGATAATGCAAATGGACAGACAGACCACCAAAACCAACAGAGACAAAGCAACGGACGCTGGCTGATAATGACAATTGCCCCAGTCAGTCAGCAACATAAGGTCCTACATGCTCACCTACACGCACAGCCCCCAGCTTTCTACCACGTACTGTGGAAGGAGTAGCATTTGAGTCCCAGCTCTCTTACTTATCTTTGAGTCCCCAGAACCCCAGTAAGACTCCATTTCTCCATCTTTGAAATGGATATAACCTTTGTCCTGCTCACCTCACAGGAGTTTTGATAGGATTATCATTTTGGAATCAGGGCAAGAAGCAGTTGGGCAGTTCTTACTGCTGGAGGCCAGCAAGGACTTGGACTCACGGTAATGGAATATCATTCTGCAAGTGTTTGTGTTTTGCAGATGGGAATGAAAGTGGCAAGATGGGCTCAACAGTCACTGCTGCTGTCATTGGGATCGTTGTGCCCATGGGTGAGTTGACCCCACGTTACTGGGGAGAAAAGAGAGACCCTGCCCTGGGACTGGGGAAAAGTACAAGGGGGATAGAGTACATAGCACACTGACTTGTCCCGTGGACTTTTTCTGCCCTGGCAGCCTTCCTGCCCACCTCCCAGTCCTATAATTTGGTTTCTTAGCTTGGCACACAAAGCCTGACCCCAGGCAACCGTCCAGATGCGGCCCTATTTCCCCTTCATTCACTCTGCACACCAGCCATGTGAAGCTGAACTGCAGGCTCCATGCAGACAGTGCTGGTGTCTCTGTTGCTATGCGCCCAGCTCTAGCAGTGTCTGGCACATGGTAGGAAATAAAATATTTGTTGAATTAATCAGTAGATCTGCTTCACCATTCCTTTGCTGGATCATGCTGTCTTGTGTTCTTCCTGTGTGGTTTCCAACAAACATTTATCAAACAGCTATGATGTGCCAGACTCTGCGATGGGGGGTAGAGGTGGTTGAAAATGAGTAAGATGTGGTTCCTGTCCTCCGAAAGTTTAAAGTCTTGTTGGAGAGACACGACATAACACAGATCATTTGTTACGACTTGGTAAGTCCTAAAATTAAGCTGTGTGTGGTTCAGTGGAAGCACTTAACTTGGAATTGGGAGAGAAGAGAAGCAGGCAGGGAAGGTTTCCTAGTGGAAATGGTATTTGTGCTGAGTCAGCCAACTGAAGAAGGATCAAAAGCAGTCTATGCAGTAAAAACATAAGCAAAGCCAGGACTGAGGAAGGGAATGGGAGGGCAGGGGTAGAGTAAGTTTGGAACTAGGAGTTCCGTTTGGCCAAATACAGCATTTGGTTAAACTTTGCAGAGAACCACAGCAGCTGATTCACTCTGTCCGACCCTGATTTTCACATAGCACGCTGTAATCCTGTCTGTCATACCAGTCTCATTTTGTGACAGGATCTGTGAGTTGTGATTGTCCATTCATAGGTTTATCTCACTTACTTGTCCATGAGTATCTCAAGGACAAGGACTCTGCCCATTTATCCTGGGAACCACCAAGATGGTGGTGAGTTAGTGAGTGAATGTTTTAAAAAACTTCTACTCTGTGTAAGGGACTGTGCCAAGTGCCAAGGATCCAGGGAAGATAAAGATAAAAGACTCAAGAGCTTTCAGTCTTTAATCAGACTTAGTCATTTCTTAAAAATTAATGTAAGAGGCATTAACATGTATTATCATGCGTTAACAAGGGTGTGATGCTCCATAGAGGGGAGGGAAGTGGTTCTTCTGGAGAGGATGGCATTTGCCTTGGCCTTGAAAGGCTTCAACAGTAAAGGTCATAGTGAGATTAGTCCAAACTTATTTTGGGTGGAGTGAGCAGAAGACACTCTGAGCATTGTTGAATGAAAGAGAAATCAACCCTTCCCTGCTATCCACTGCTCTGTTGAAGGCAATGTATGTGCTGTTTTCTTGATGTAACCCACCCTGATATAACCAATATTTTTAATTTCTGCTCATCTCAGGGGAAAAAATTAATAGTCTTTCCCTGATATTTCCCTGAGAGATAGAGGCTTTTTTTATAAGCTTATTGGCCATTTCCATTTCATCCTTAATGAATTGCCTATTGCACAGGCCTTTCTTATTTTGCTGTTGGTTCTTTGTCTTATCCTTATTTATTTGTAGAAATATGTATATACCGCATGTTAAACTTTTGTAATACAGGTTACAGATATTTTCCCCCACACCACCATTTTGATTTTTAAATTTGTTTATGGTATATTTTGCCATACAAGAATTTAAAAATTTTAAGTACCAGATGTGTTAACCTTTTGTGTTATGATTTCTGGGCTTTGTGTCTTGCTTCAGGAAATTTGCCTCATTCTAAATTATTAAAGTGTCTCCCTATATATTTTTTTCCACTACTTTAAACATTTTTTTAGTATTTAGATATTAATTCATTTAGAATTTATTTCACAGTATGGTTTGAGATAGAGATTCATCTGTTTTTTTCCTACATGCCTATCTAGTTTTCCCAAGACCATTACTGAATAGTCCATCCTTTCCTGCTGACTTGAATTTTCATCTTTTTATGAACTACCTACCTATACATACTTTGGCCTGCTTCTAGGTTGTTCATTCTCCTCCACCAATTGTCTGTCTATTCCCATGCTCTAGAAGCACAACTTTGTGATGTTTTAACATCTAATAAGGCATTAGAATTCTTGCAACATTTTCATAGCTATTTTTATTCAATTTCTCTTCTAGATTAACTTTAGAATTATCTTGTTAATTCTATAACAATAATGATGGAATCTTATGCTGTGGATATGTAAATTGATGTGGGGAGAATTTTTTTTAACAATATTGAAGCTGCCCACCAAGGAACATGACATATCTCCCTATTTATTTCAGCCTTCTTTTATGTCCTTCAGTAAAATTTTATAGATTGTAGAGGACTTACTATGAATGTGTTCTTATTCCATTCCATTTTCCAATTGGTTATTGCCAATTAATAAGAAAGCTATTGGTTTTTTATGTTGATTCTTGATGAACAAAAGTTATTTCTCTTAGTTTTTCATCTGCTTTTCCAAGATTTTCTAAACATACAGTATCTGTTCTTAATAACTATTGGTTTCTCCCTTTCCCATATGTGCACCATTTAGTTCTTTGTCTGGTCTTACTGCATAGCTACATCACTGGAACAGCAAATAGCAACTGTAATAACAGGCATCCTTGCCTTGTTCCTGTCTTTAACGCATATCTATTATAACCTTACCAAGTCAAAACCCCCTTTACAGCAGCCTGGATAGCTGTTGTCCAGCTCCCACTGGAGCGCTCACGGTGATCGCCTGGTATCTCACGACGCTGCTTGCCCCATTTTTGCCCAGCTCTGTTTGAGAATTTCCTCCTTTGCCCAGTCATTTATTCTAACTCAGAGCTCATGTGTCCCTGCTGTGTCCCCTTCTAGAGATACTCCTCTTCTTACAGGGCCCCAGCTTTGGAAAGAAACACCCTACCTCACCCTCTGCCCTCCAATTTGGGGAGAGAATGGTTTTCTTAGAAGATCCAAGGAAGCAGAGCATTAGGGCAAAGGTGTGGTGAAAAATTTACCCGCTCACTCATTCAGTGCATGTTACTAAGAAGCTACTCAGTGCCAGGCTTTGGGCACAGTGAGGTCAAGAAGACCCAGTCCCTCGCTCAGGAGCTCAGTCTAGTTGGAGGTACACATATATAAAGCATAATACCATGGCCTGGGAAAGAACATGGGCGAGCGACTGACTCTACCTTGAGAAGTTGAGGAGGACTTCACATTTGAGCTGGGTCTTGAAGGATGTGTAGCTAATGAAGGAAGATATGGGAGAAGGGCTCAGAAACAGACTGAGAAACAAGGGGCAGTAAAGCTGGAGAGGTGGCAAAAAATGCAGTGACATCTGAGCAGCGGGTCGGAGCCTGCCGGAGGTCCAGTGTACTGTGTCTCTCCCTCCAGCGGTAGTAGCCCTGCTGGGCATGAGTGGCTACCTGATCTGGAGGAACTGGAAACGGAAGAACACCAAAAGCATGAATTTCGACAACCCAGTGTACAGGAAAACCACGGAAGAGGAGGATGAAGATGAACTGCACATAGGGAGGACTGCTCAGATTGGCCATGTCTATCCTGCAGTAAGTATTTCTTGCTGTAAGAATTCCTTCCTTACTTCCCTGCCTCCCTCCCTCCCTCCCTCCCTTCCTTCTCCAAACACTTCTCAAGGACCCACTATGCGCCAGGCACTGTTCTAGGCCCTGGGAACAAAGAAATGCTGGGACACGTGGTTGGGGTAGAAGGTATCAGGACCGCCTTGTACCCAGTGGCTCTTCTGGAGTAAAGAAGGCCATATGCCTTTCTGTTGAGGAAGTTTTCAGGACTTTGGCCTGGAAGGGTCATTGTGGCCATTCAGTTCAAATGAGTTCACTTCGGCAAACACTGTGCACTTGTTACCAGCTGAGTACCAACACCAAGGGTTCAAAGAAGCAAGGTCTGTATTTGCTCCCGAGGAGCTGTCTGGGGAGTCAGAGCCTCTCCCTGTGTGCTGAATGCCAGTGCGGAGCTCAGGGGCCCTCTGTTCTGGGATGCTCTCCCTGGCTTCTTTGTTCTCCCACAGCCTCTCCATCATGGTGCCTGTCACACCCTAGTCAACTTGTCTCTTTACTCATTGGTCTCCCTCTTAGACCATAAACTCCTTGAGGGCAGGATTGTCTGATTGATCTGTTTCCCTGGTGCCTAGCTCAGCATAGCTGCCTCCCAGTAAATATTTGTTGAACAAATGCTAGGGAAACATCAACAAGGGAGTTGTTAGGTCCATTTGGGAAATCAGGCAGAGAATGCCTCACAGAGGTGACAGATGAACCATGTCCTTAAAAGATCAATAGCAGTTTTCCAGGTAGAGAAGGAGGAAAATGGCATCCCAGGAAGAAGCATGTGCAAAGGCTGACAGGCACAACAGGGAATGGCGTGTTGGGAGAGCAAGGACCACAAAGTGGCTGAAGCAGATGTCACGGCTGTATAGCAGCAGAGTTGGGGCTGACCGTGACCTCATAGGTCATCCAGTCCATCCCCCTGTCAGGCAATCATCAGCTTTGATCACCCACTGTGGGCAGAGCCCTGTCTTGGGGAGACCAGAGAACTGGAAGACCCAGCCCCTGCCCTCAAGGAGCTTTTTGTCTTGCCGGGAGAACCAAGGTCACAGCTGCACCAGCTCCCGAAGAACCCTCTTTCCGAGCTGCCTGTCGTCAAGTGCAAGGTAGGGCAGTGCCCCTCTGAGTCTGAGAGGCTGGTGAGTGAGGGCATGAACCCAAGCAGGTGTAGCCAATCCTAGAAGGCTTTCTGGTTCTGGAAGGCTACAAATTTTAAGATGTGTTTCAGGGCAAAGAGGAAAGGTGGGTTCGTTGCAGACTGAGGGAAATGAGTGAGTATGGGGCAGGGCTGACTGACTTGCTGCGTAAGCAAATTATTCATGAAGGGGAGGCATGGGAGATGGAGTTGAGCAAGTGAGGAGGGTTAGCACATGGCTTTGAGGATCCTTAACCTCGGCCAATCCACACAGTTACTGAACCAGGTTTTAAAAATGAGGCAGGGTGCAGTGGAAGCACCATGGAGCTCACAGTAAGAAGATGACTCCCAGATTCACTCTTCCACAGCCCTGTGCTCTTAGTCACTCTCTCTGCTCACTTTTATTTATGAAATGGGAATAATAACCCCCATTCTATCTGCCTCCTAAATGTATAAAGTTCAAGCAAAATAGCACATTTGGGAGTGCTTCGTGAGTTATAAAGCACTCTATACATGTAAAGTGGCATTGTTTCCAGAGAGGGAAATAGCCACTGAGGAGGAGCTATTCCTGATGACTCTAAGGCCTGAGGAATAAGCTCCTGCAGAGAAATCAAGTAGGAAAGTGAGGAAATTGACACTTAGTGAGGCCCTACTACGTGTCGGACACTACTTGGTGTTTTACATACATTTTCTCATTTAGTCTTCACAATAATCTTATGAAGTTGATACCATTAGCCCCATTTTGCAAATGAGGAAACTGAGACTCAGAGAAATTGAGTAACTTGCCTAGGGTCACAGCCAGGAAGTGGCAGAACCAGGATTCAAATTCCAACCTGTATGTACACAAAAGCACATGCTCTTTCTACTTGCATCACAGGGTAAATAGCCTTGAAACTCCGGAAGTTCATCTTCTCAACAGCCTGTTCTCTCCCCATCTCTTTCTCAGGTAGCTCCCCACCCACTGCTGGGATCTGCCTTTGGCCTAGTCTGGCTTGGAGAGAGTGGGAGGGCAACATGTCTAGAAGACAGTCTTGAATATCTGTGCCAGTGGAGCAAGGCCATGGCCTTCATGCAAAATCACAAATAACCCAGATGATCTGAAAGGCAGAGGACTTACTTTTTATTGTATGTAGAATGTCCAGAGATAGAAAGTGCTGATCTGGTTCTATTTCATGCTGGTTAGGTTGATCTAGAATCCTCCGGACCCTGTGTGTGTTAGATACTGTATTAAGCTCTCCACACTCTCATTTGACTTCCCAAAAACCCTATGAGGTAGGTCCTATTATTATTCCCATTTGACAGATGATAAAACCAAGGCTCAAAGAGGTGAATGGTTAGCCCAAATTCATATAGCTATGAGAAAGATACTGTGACCCTGGGGTCTGTCCAGAGGAGGGCTCTCCAGGGAATGGAAGAGTGGGAAACAGGACTGCATGAGAACCAGCCAGGGAAGGCTAGATGTGTAGCTTAGAGAAGAAACCACTCAGAAGGAAGGGAAGGGAACTCAAACACCGTCTGGAAATTTCAAGGATTATCTATGTGAACTCTCTGAGATACTGAATCAGGGGCCATCAGATGGTAAAGAAGTAGATTTCAGGACAATACAGAAAAAAACTTACGTCCACTGGCCCCGAGGGCATAGACCAAGTGAGGGGTCAGTGGGCTTGCCATCTAGTGGTCTGCCATTTGTGGCAGAGGGAAGTCAAGCATCTAATGACTAAAAAGTAGGGGTGAAGGAAAGAGGGAGTGAATTTAATTGGCCTGCGTTGCCTTCTGACTCTGTTTTATCAGTTGGGAGGGGTGCAGATTACCTTCCTACTGTGACTGGCATGCTAGAGACAAGTAGCTAATGGCCTGGGATTAAACATTTGCCAAAGCTAACCCAGTGAAGTGGGGCAAACCTAAAACTCCTGTAAGGGATTTTATAGTGACTTTCTAGTCATTAGCTCTCTGTAGCCCTCCTTTACAGAGAGGCAGAACAGAATGATGGAAAAAGCTACAGCTCTGTTTTCACACAGATCTGGGGTCAAATTTTAGTTCACCCACTTGCTCTGTGATCCTGGATAAATGTTGCTTAAGCTTATTGAGTCTCACTTTTCTCTTCTGTAAAAGAAATAGGACAAATCTGTCTCTTGGGGATAGTTGGAAGATTATGTGAGCTAATGCCTGCAAATTAATAGAATGTCTGGTATCGTGTGGGTATTCAATAAATAACTCCTGCGGGTCTAATGATCATTTCTTTGCTCTGTCTCCCCAGCGAGTGGCATTAAGCCTTGAAGACGATGGACTGCCTTGAGGATGGGACCACTCCCTTCGTGCCTCATGGAGTTCAGTCCCATGCACTACACTCTCTGGATGGAAGGGTTTCTGGATATGGGTCTGTGTGAGTGTGTGTGTGCGTGTGTGTGTGTAATTTTTTTTTTAATTTATGTTGCAGAGGGGTAACCACAAAGTTATGATGAACTGCAAACATCCAAAGGATGTGAGAGTTTTTATATGTATAATGTTTTATACACTTTTTACCTGGTTGCACTATCCATGAGGAATTCATGGAATGGCTACTGCTGAGTGACTAACATGATGTACGTAAATGGAGTTCAGTCCCATGCACTACACTCTCTGGATGGAAGGGTTTCTGGATATGGGTCTGTGTGAGTGTGTGTGTGCGTGTGTGTGTGTAATTTTTTTTTTAATTTATGTTGCAGAGGGGTAACCACAAAGTTATGATGAACTGCAAACATCCAAAGGATGTGAGAGTTTTTATATGTATAATGTTTTATACACTTTTTACCTGGTTGCACTATCCATGAGGAATTCATGGAATGGCTACTGCTGAGTGACTAACATGATGTACGTAACCAAAACAGGGCCGATAGTACAGTAGCTTACTCATCATTTTAAAACTATATTTACAGAGGATATTTGATTTTGGGGGGATTTTTTAGGTTTTGGAGTTTGGGGGTTTTTTTTGTAAATAAAATGATTATGCTTTGTGGCTATCCATCAACATAAGTAAAAAAAAGAAAAACACTTCAACTCCCTCCCTCATTTAGGTTATTTATTAACATATTTCAAAAATAAGATTAGTTCTATAAATAATTTAGAAACATGAGAGTATTTATTTTTGGTATGATTGGCCCACCACACGGACTCCGTACATTTATGTTTATGTGTGTGTGTGTATATGTGAAAGAGAGAAAAATCTGTAGAGAAGAGGTATACCTATGGCCGTTGTTCAGATGCATAAAGATAAGTTTATTTTAAAACAGTCCACAAGAGGGGTATCTAATTTTCAGAAAGCCTTTGGAAATTTGGCTCCAAAAACAGATGCCATGGTTTTTACAAGCATGTAGTGGAAAAGGCAGATCTTTTCCACCTCTGGCTACTCCTAGGATCCCAATCGGTCAGGAAAAGGCTTTTGGTTGGCACACAGCTTCTGTGACTCCCACCTGGGCTTTCTCTTCTGTGGCTGAGGCCTGTGTACAGGCTGTAAACAGTGCCAGAAGTTCTTGTGAGTTCAGGTGAGAACATGCCTGAAGCTCGGCTACTCCTTGTTTGAAAGTTTATCATTTCGAGTAACTTCATTTTCCTTCAGGACACTTGGGTTGAATTCATTAAGTTTCCTCTGAAGCACCCTGATGGTGCCATTCTTACTTACAGAGAGCTAAGTGGAGATGGTTCTAGAACAGCCCAAGTTTACTCCAGGGACTGGCTCAGGCGGTGAATCTCTGAGATATGCTATAGATGAGGATAAGGATGGTAGAATAAGTTTTGTTACAGCTCTATTTCTCCCTTCCCCTTACTCTCTACCACTTCCTTTAGGTGGGGAAAGCATTCAAAGTAATACATAGGTTTGTTACCATCATGTGTCCATATAGATGAAACTAAATTGTGGCTTAAGTCAGAAAAACTGGCCAAATGTAAGGTCCCATTTGAGGGGGAAATGGCATACACAATATTAAAGTATGTTGGATATATATGTTCACACAGGGATTTGGTTTACTGCTTTGTAAATAAAAGGAAAAACTGTGGGTTTATGTATAGATTTTTTTTTTTCATTATGGACATCTTCTTTGCCTTTCCTGAGCTTTGGGGGAGGCAGAGAGAAGTGTTCTTTTCTCTTTGTGGGGATCTACCATCGGAAACATCATCCTACAGTCCCAGAAGGAATTAAGTCCCTGACGGCTCTCTGATCCAAGGTGTTGTCTTTTCTTAATTTAACTCTGCTGTTCTGCCACTTTACTCCCACTGGACAACCAGGGACAAGATGTGACAATGAAGTGTTTGGCTTAAGTAGAAGCAGAGGACTTATATCTAACCTTTAACATACCTGAAAGTTGATACATTTAAGCAAATTCCTCCTTGCTACTCTTTGGCTGCCCCACACTCAGTGAAGCTTGGGTGTCTCACCAGCTTTATACCCTTTGAATTTCCAGGCAGACATTCTGCATTTCTCTGCATTTCTATCACTCTGTTCCTAGGACCTTTTTCTACATCACTCATGGTCTTCTAACTTCTAAGAAAAGAACTGTGTTCTGGAGCCTGGGCACTATGCTTTGCATAAACAAGCAATTTCCTCATGATAGGCATGTGTTGATAGTCCTGAAACATTGAGAGGGTACATTGACTTAGAATGACCAATACTGAACAGAATTTTAAATACAGGTGACATACTCCTATGGAGTTTAATCACTTACTACTGTTTTTTCAGGAGTCGAAAATAAAATTATTTTTGACTGGAGGAAAATGATGAAAGTGAAAAACATTGTAATTTACATAAAACCACTTTATCATAAAAGAATGTTTTTCTGTAACTGCCTCCAAAGAAACAATTTCCTGGGGAAGTAAGTAACTAACTCATAGCTTCTAAGCTTTCAGTCAGATCCTGGCCCTTGCAGAAAAAAATAATGAATGGGGATCAGGATGATTCAACCTGAGATCTCAAAATGATAATGACATCCATTCTTGGAGACATCCATGTTTCCTTAACACGCTACAACTGCAGTTTGAAAGAAGCAGCTATGTAGCAACCTACAAAAACCAAATTGGGTGATGCTCACATGTTGGATGGCAATAAAAAGATGAAATCTGAGGAGCCTGGTCCATCCTTCCCCTATTCTTGGAGGCATTTTGAGGCGTAGTTGCATTTCTCTTGCCTTTTTGCCCCTGTGCCATCATATGTCTACAGCCAATAATGAGCTGTAGAGTTATTGGACTACAAAGCTGGAAGGGAGCTTGGAGATGCCAGGAGGACAGAAGATTTAACAGACGTTTCTTTCTTAATTTAAGTGAAACTGGTCCCGGTCCTTTTCCTCCCTTTCCTTCTCCAGGAGACTACTGTGGGCTGCCTGAACACTGTACTGGACCTGCTACCTATTTTATGGTCTCTTTCCAGTGGAATTACGAAGCCACTGGCAGAAATGGCCTTCCAGAAACAGGGAAAACTAAAATTTTATTTATTTACTCGTGATAGCATGCATATTTATAAAACAGATTGAGGTAACCTATAACCTCAGAATGGGATTGGAATTAAATTTGCGGCAGTAAGTACAATCACTCTCCAATTCTCTCTCTGTGATTGCAATATATTCATTCACTGAAACCATTTGCTAAGTACCAGCTAAGTGCCAGGCACTGCAAATGTGCAAGTCAAGCAAAGGTTTTCTGTCCTCTAGGAGCTCGCAAGAGCAGTAGAGGAAGACATGGGAAAAAAAGAGGAATAAATTCTTTTCAGAGTACTGTTAGGGCACAAAGGAGAGAGAGTTCATTTCTACCAAAGGAAGTGAGGAATGGAGTCAAGAAAGGCATTATAGGAAAAGTGACCTTAAGCTAAGTCCTAAATACTAAGTAGGGGTGTCCAGGCTGCTTCAGGTAGAAGAGACACTGGGCTAAGACATGCGGCATCTAATTCATTCTAATGAGCAAAAGGCTTAAAGGGGACTTAGCAAAAGAATGAGACTGGATGGAAAGACAGGTTCAATGTAAGCACTTTATAGAATACTATTTCATTTCTGATTCAATTAAGCAAACATTTCTTGGTCATTTATGTGTACATGGCACCAAGTGTATCACGGAAAATTCCTCCAGATGTGTTTGCAGACACAACAGTCTTCAGCCTCAAGCTTTCAGTGACCAAAGGGAAATGTGACTGCTTTTCCTGTATTTGAGTCAAAGTCTTATGATATGGTCAATGAAAACTAATGTAAGAGCAGTGGGATTTTCACAGAACCCTTCCCTGTTGTCAAAAGCCTCTGAGATTTTCTCAACAATGAGAAAGAAAACTGGGACATGAAGTCTGCAGAGGGGACTTCCAAGCACTGCCCAGCCAAGCACTGGTGAGAATGGAGAGAGGGCACAGGAACCAGAGCCCCCCACCCCCTAATGCCAGCCATACACGCATCATTTCATGGAATATAGATAAGACGTTTCAGAGTAAATAACTTCCCTTCTGATCAATGCATGAAGATAAGAGTATCAGAGTCCTCACACTGGATTTTTAGGGTATTGGGGATTTTCAGAATATGGAGAACTTAGAGGTAGAGGAATTACAGCTTCAAATTTTCAGTTAATAGAAGAAATTAGGAAGCTCTATTCATTCAAACTATGCACCATGTGCATAGTCAAGAATCAGCAGAAACCCTCTGCATTTACAAACACTTTGTGCTATAAAAAGTAATTTTAAAAAGCCACCTGTATATGTGTATAAATATATATATTTAAAGACATGAAGGTTTTGATACTTTTTTACAAAGCTACAAGAGAAAACAAATATCTGTACAAACTATGTGTTTTAAAATAGCATTTTGTTCTATACAAACGGAGTGAAATACTGGTTTGCAAACTCCATCACATTGTGCCCAAGTGAATTTTCCTTGTTTGTCCTCCCCCCACACCCTCAAATTACTGTATTTGATGTAACAGGCATGTTAGAATGTTGGGTCTCACTGACCGTTTCTGCTCTTTTTGTCTTGTCATTCTGAGTTCCTTTAGCTTCTCTACTCCATGCCCTTTGCTGTTTTCTCTTCCAGAGTCAAAGGGTGGTGTGCTGCATCTCATTAGCTGTACTGACATCATCTTGGTGAATTAAAAACCAAATGTGGACATTTGTAAAATCAGTGCACTGTTTCTAGAGAGAGATTAAATTCATTTTTAAAATCTGGAAGTATTTTATTGTGATGCTTTAATGAGGGGGGGAGTGAACAATCATTGATTAAGTCCCTAATGTGTACCCAGTACCCTCCATAAATTATCTTAGTCTTCATCAACAATCCTGTGAGATAAATACTATCAATATTATTTTCACTTTATAGATGAGGAAACGGGTGAAGAAGTGCTCAAAGTCATGCAATTATGTTTAGTGTCCCCGAAGTACATGTAGCATTCATGTACCTACCTGTGGCATTCTCTGTCCACTTAGGGCCTGCTCCTCTGGAAAGCCTTGTCTGTTCTCTCAGACTCAGACCTAGCTCATAGGGGAAGATACTTATATGCTTCCACAACAAATTTTGCCTACTTGTATCCCAATACTTCTGCCCTGCTCCTCACTCTCATGCTACTGAGGTGGTTTTTACCAAGGTCACCCAGACCCTCCTTGATTATAAATCTTATAAATACTTTCAGTTTTTATCTTCCTTGACCTAGAGGCAATATTTAATACAGTTGGCTCTCCTCTCTTGAAATGTACTTATTTTGGTTTACAAGACACAGACAGGGACCATGGATGTAGTCAGAGTACAGTGAGGGCCTCTGGAAAAAGACCCCTACCAAAACTCCGTATTAAACAATTAAGCAAAGACAGAGTCACATTAATTCTCTAAAGTAAAACATCAAACTAGGAATATAAGCATTCTTCAGTGAAGATTAGTTAAAACTAAAAGCCAGGAGTAACTTAGCCTGGAATGTTTGAACATCCCCCAGATAAGAAAATATCTCAGCATATCCCATGTCTTGTTTGTCTCAATTAAATGAGGCTATTCTAAAATTTACTTTAGCCTGCTAAAAGGCCCAGTTTATCTTTAACTTTACCACTGGCAGAAATGGCCTTCCAGAAACAGGGAAAACTAAAATTTTATTTATTTACTCGTGATAGCATGCATATTTATAAAACAGATTGAGGTAACCTATAACCTCAGAATGGGATTGGAATTAAATTTGCGGCAGTAAGTACAATCACTCTCCAATTCTGTCTCTGTGATTGCAATATATTCATTCACTGAAACCATTTGCTAAGTACCAGGTAAGTGCCAGGCACTGCAAATGTGCAAGTCAAGCAAAGGTTTTCTGTCCTCTAGGAGCTCGCAAGAGCAGTAGAGGAAGACATGGGAAAAAAAGAGGAATAAATTCTTTTCAGAGTACTGTTAGGGCACAAAGGAGAGAGAGTTCATTTCTACCAAAGGAAGTGAGGAATGGAGTCAAGAAAGGCATTATAGGAAAAGTGACCTTAAGCTAAGTCCTAAATACTAAGTAGGGGTGTCCAGGCTGCTTCAGGTAGAAGAGACACTGGGCTAAGACATGCGGCATCTAATTCATTCTAATGAGCAAAAGGCTTAAAGGGGACTTAGCAAAAGAATGAGACTGGATGGAAAGACAGGTTCAATGTAAGCACTTTATAGAATACTATTTCATTTCTGATTCAATTAAGCAAACATTTCTTGGTCATTTATGTGTACATGGCACCAAGTGTATCACGGAAAATTCCTCCAGATGTGTTTGCAGACACAACAGTCTTCAGCCTCAAGCTTTCAGTGACCAAAGGGAAATGTGACTGCTTTTCCTGTATTTGAGTCAAAGTCTTATGATATGGTCAATGAAAACTAATGTAAGAGCAGTGGGATTTTCACAGAACCCTTCCCTGTTGTCAAAAGCCTCTGAGATTTTCTCAACAATGAGAAAGAAAACTGGGACATGAAGTCTGCAGAGGGGACTTCCAAGCACTGCCCAGCCAAGCACTGGTGAGAATGGAGAGAGGGCACAGGAACCAGAGCCCCCCACCCCCTAATGCCAGCCATACACGCATCATTTCATGGAATATAGATAAGACGTTTCAGAGTAAATAACTTCCCTTCTGATCAATGCATGAAGATAAGAGTATCAGAGTCCTCACACTGGATTTTTAGGGTATTGGGGATTTTCAGAATATGGAGAACTTAGAGGTAGAGGAATTACAGCTTCAAATTTTCAGTTAATAGAAGAAATTAGGAAGCTCTATTCATTCAAACTATGCACCATGTGCATAGTCAAGAATCAGCAGAAACCCTCTGCATTTACAAACACTTTGTGCTATAAAAAGTAATTTTAAAAAGCCACCTGTATATGTGTATAAATATATATATTTAAAGACATGAAGGTTTTGATACTTTTTTACAAAGCTACAAGAGAAAACAAATATCTGTACAAACTATGTGTTTTAAAATAGCATTTTGTTCTATACAAACGGAGTGAAATACTGGTTTGCAAACTCCATCACATTGTGCCCAAGTGAATTTTCCTTGTTTGTCCTCCCCCCACACCCTCAAATTACTGTATTTGATGTAACAGGCATGTTAGAATGTTGGGTCTCACTGACCGTTTCTGCTCTTTTTGTCTTGTCATTCTGAGTTCCTTTAGCTTCTCTACTCCATGCCCTTTGCTGTTTTCTCTTCCAGAGTCAAAGGGTGGTGTGCTGCATCTCATTAGCTGTACTGACATCATCTTGGTGAATTAAAAACCAAATGTGGACATTTGTAAAATCAGTGCACTGTTTCTAGAGAGAGATTAAATTCATTTTTAAAATCTGGAAGTATTTTATTGTGATGCTTTAATGAGGGGGGGAGTGAACAATCATTGATTAAGTCCCTAATGTGTACCCAGTACCCTCCATAAATTATCTTAGTCTTCATCAACAATCCTGTGAGATAAATACTATCAATATTATTTTCACTTTATAGATGAGGAAACGGGTGAAGAAGTGCTCAAAGTCATGCAATTATGTTTAGTGTCCCCGAAGTACATGTAGCATTCATGTACCTACCTGTGGCATTCTCTGTCCACTTAGGGCCTGCTCCTCTGGAAAGCCTTGTCTGTTCTCTCAGACTCAGACCTAGCTCATAGGGGAAGATACTTATATGCTTCCACAACAAATTTTGCCTACTTGTATCCCAATACTTCTGCCCTGCTCCTCACTCTCATGCTACTGAGGTGGTTTTTACCAAGGTCACCCAGACCCTCCTTGATTATAAATCTTATAAATACTTTCAGTTTTTATCTTCCTTGACCTAGAGGCAATATTTAATACAGTTGGCTCTCCTCTCTTGAAATGTACTTATTTTGGTTTACAAGACACAGACAGGGACCATGGATGTAGTCAGAGTACAGTGAGGGCCTCTGGAAAAAGACCCCTACCAAAACTCCGTATTAAACAATTAAGCAAAGACAGAGTCACATTAATTCTCTAAAGTAAAACATCAAACTAGGAATATAAGCATTCTTCAGTGAAGATTAGTTAAAACTAAAAGCCAGGAGTAACTTAGCCTGGAATGTTTGAACATCCCCCAGATAAGAAAATATCTCAGCATATCCCATGTCTTGTTTGTCTCAATTAAATGAGGCTATTCTAAAATTTACTTTAGCCTGCTAAAAGGCCCAGTTTATCTTTAACTTTACCCAAATGCTGCTTTTCCTCCTCCAGCCCCTAATCAAGTAATATATAACCTGGGCAATTAATATAGCAGGCAGGCCCAGCTGTAAACAACATAGTGAAGGGCAGGAAGGATTCCATCTTAAAGATAAGACTTTTTTTACACCCAAGAAGTTAAGATTCTTAACTTTCTATTTAACAAACACAATAACTCAGTCCACATTGGGAGCAAGACAAACAGCCTTGACTGATATACTCCCAAACCAAAAAACTGCTATTCTGAGACATAATCAAAGCAGTAAATTTCTTGCGTTAACTCTGCAAAATAGTCTGGAAAACTGATAAGAAACTTAGATTTCTTGCGTTAACTCTGCAAAATAGTCTGGAAAACTGATAAGAAACTTACTGTCTCTTCAAAGATAAACATGTAGAGACTATTTGGTGAATCTGTATCCCTAGCTCTTTGTCTCTCAACAGCCTGTAAATCTCCTAGACAGCACACCGCTATGGACTCTCTCTATTCTCTCACTGTATCTCTAAATAAAAGCCCGTCCCTGGCTCTCCTACCTTGACTGTTTGCTAAGTTCATTCATCGACTCCGCAGACAAGAACCCCGGCATCAACACCATACTCCCGGTTTTCCCCTACTTTTCTGACCACATCTTAATCTGTTTGCTCACTCCTTAAATTATGGTATTCTATCTCAAATCCATCCACTTTTATATCTCCTTTGCCACTATCCCAATATAGGTCACCATCATCTTAGATTATCGCTATCATAACTACTTAGTGATGTTAACTGTTATTAGCAACTACTTATCTGGATTTCATACTTCTCATCTTTACATCTCCAATCCAGTCTACAACACTGCAGCCAGGGGATCTTTCGAGAATGCTAACTGGTCATATCGTCACCACCCCCATCCACTTCACTGCTTTAAGCCTTTCATCTGTTTCCCTTGCATTAAAATCGAATACACTTGAGTTTTAGTCCAAACTTCTTAATATGGCTTGTGAGAGCCCTCATGATTTGGCTTCTGCCCCTTCTCTAACCTCATTACTAAATTCCCAATTTCATTCTTACTACAGTTCTGGTCCCTCTGTCTGGAACATTTCCTTTGCAAAGACTTTCCTAAACCCCTAGACTGGATTAGGAGCCAGCCCATGTGCTTCCATAGTACTCTGTGCTCTCCCTATTTGTGACCTTCATTATCCCTACATTATAATTGCTTGTACACTCCTTGCCTCCTCTCCAAGCTCTATAAAGGTCTGTCTTGCTTGCCAGTATATTTCTAGCACATGACATAAATAACATGCTCAGTAAATTATGCTGAATTCAGGTGTATCTGATACACAGACTGCTCTCAGCTGTAGCATGTTGCCCCAAACCTGGATCACTTTACTGCCTGATTGAGTTGGGTGTCTTTTAAGTTTTTCAGTGCTTGTGTTGTCATCACACTGCAGATGTCCAGATTCACTTAACATTTTTTTACTTTCTCTCTTAGAAAATAACCTCGCCTGAATTACCCAATGTCTCTATATAC